TGGTATAACCCTTAGCTATTATGTTATTTATGTTATTTATTTATTTCGGTAAGTAGGCCTATAATGTTATTAATCTTAATTACTTGCTCAAGGGAAACAAAATTCTCTTAGGACATCACAATAACTAACATATACCGTACCAAAATCCTCTAGCACAATTATATGATCTGTTATCTTGGAATAGTTGAAAATTTGAGTCCCACGAAAAATATATTGTAAATAATGAATTTGTGTGATCAAATTGATTCACTCATTCTTCAATATATAGTCCCATTGACTGACGGATTCAAGGGGGGATTTGGGTGTGCTCTAAGGTCACCCAAATTTATTTATTTATTTATTTATTTATTAAATTATACCTAATTTTAGCACAATCAAAAAATAAAAAATTATTACTAATATTAGCTCGCTCGAACAAATATTAATTCACTCCATTGACAATTCCTGAATCGGCCCTGATCCCACTAAAAACATATTATAAATAATGAATTTGTGTGATGAAGTTGATTCACGCATTCTTCAATGGGCTAACTTTAGAAATTAAACTGAAGCTAATCATTGTGTCTTACCCGCATAAAAAGCAATAGGAAAATTAAATCAAAAGGTGGTGAAGAAAAAGGATGAGACATGATAACAATGGCATTGACTTGCTAGTAAAAGGCTAAAATCTTGGAGAGTAGGGATCTTTTTCTGTGTGTCACTTGAACGGTGAGTATTAGAAGTTGTAAAAGAACATGGCCGATCATGACCGTCCAACCAAGAATACATATGTATATATATATGTATATAAATATATGTGGAGCTGTAAGCATGAAAGAAAGGGTGGAGATAGATAATGATCAGAGTGGGGTTGGCTTGATAGCATACGAAGTAATAATCAAGAGATAATGCTTAACATCCACATACACGCGTGCATGTAAACAGTGGTCTTGCACCCTTCAATCATAAGGCAGATAAGTCTTGTAAGGAAACTTCCTCTACTTGCATAGCTCTCATATACTACTGCCCCCATAAACAATCATTCAAGGTTGCCATTAAATGGTAAGGTAAACTAGTGGATTGACCCATAATGCATTGAATTAGAGCTTTAAAATTAAAATTGGATTATTGAATTCAATTCTATTCAGCTGCGCGTTCATTTGTGACTTTCTTTCGATTTAATAAATATTTTTAAGTTTAATTATTATGATTATGATAAGATTATATCATGTTAATCAGCTACTATTCTCTTATGCTTCTTACGGTAGAAAGGAAAAAAATTTAATAAAACAGTGAAAAGAAATGATAGATAAGACATCTTTAAAAAATAGATTATTTCATTCCTTCTTTTTGTTCTGTTAGATGAAAAAGTGAAAAAAAAAAAAAAAAAAAAAAAAAAAAATGACAACTTACTTGTTCATTAATTAAGAGAAAATTTTAAATTATTTTTACCATTATACCATCATTATTTATAGTACCGTAATTGATTAAGGATAGTATTATAATTTAACTTTTTAGAGGAAAATGAATATTAATTTATTTTAATTACATATTAATTAGTACACAAATATTGTTAGAAAAATACATATAAGTGCTGACATAGACGGTTGGAGAAGTTTTTGTTGCATTATATTCATTATTTTATTTGATTTTTTTAATGCAAAATTATTTTAAGAATAGATTCTAATAATTTATCTTTCCATATTTCTTTTTATTCAATTTTGGCCATATAAAAGAAATGTGATCCAGGATAAAAAATGCTTTTCCAGTCATCTTCTCCTTTTGATACCCTTTTTACCTTTTATTTCTAATAAATTTATCTACCAAAAAAGAAAACGCATTATGCCCAAATTTGACATGCAAGTGAGATTGAAAATTTTCTAATTTTTTTTTTTTTTTTCCCTCTTCGAATTTACACGTATCGGTCCCACAATACATATATCATTTAAATTTAAAATGCGATTTTCAAATTCTTGTCAATATCATTATACTTTTAAAGACCGATAATTTTCTAACTAAGTAAAAAAAAATTTAACTAATTCCGTCCCAACTCCACGGATTGCCATCCCAATATCTAATAATAATTTCATTCATATTAATATCTGATATGGGCCATGAATAAGTAGGTACGTCCGCATTGCTCTCTTGTTCAAAACAGATACTACTACTTAGCATTTATGGTGTATCATGTGCATACCTATTCTACAGTACGCATAGATCTCTACGGAATCAAAGAAACATTAGGAATATCCGACCATGATATTAACCATTCAGTCAGTGGGGCCCATGCAAAATCTTGTAATCGAAATTTAAAGATTCGGAAAATTAGTATGATTGGACACTACCACGTTATCACGCATACCGCTTAGAAGTATAGGACTCCTCCAGGACCCCCAATCCCTTGCCTATTGCCACTAGTTCGTTTCAAATTACTAAATTAGCCTCACCTCGCCGTTTATAATCCAGCGTTTGGGTCCGATATAAAGTTGTTGCGTAAATCATTAAAGTTTTGTTCAGCCACATAAAATTATTGCGTAATAATAAAAAGGTAATTGTTGCATCAGCAATTCAAAATTATGATTTAAGAATCTAAAATTGTTGAGTTGGCACAAAACATTACAATTCACATAACACATATTTATTTTTTAAGTTTGAAATTTAAAGAAATACAGTAAGTTTTATCCATGGTCTAGACGAAAAGGTCAACAATGTATTAATATTTGAATTTTATAGGTTGATGCATTAGATTAGCATGGGGTATAAGAATAGAAAATTACTCTCTTCTCGTGATTTTTAAAAGAGACGTTCTTTTTAAAATAAATGGAGTATTAAATAGTGGCACACAATCTAACTGTTCTACAAATATAAATTTAGTATAGTGTATATACATATAATACAAGAAGTTGGGCTTGAATTTAAGGTTAAATTGGGTTGTCCAATTTCAATTGGTTTCACAAGCACTCGATCACAATAGAGGCAAATTCAGTCTCCCATATTTAAGTTGAAAATATATAATCCCTATTATATACTGCTAAAGAGATTGTAGTGACAATACTTATTTATTTTTAATTATGATAAGTTTTTTTTTTCACAATTTTAATTTTTTTAATTCTTTTTAGCAATTCAACAAAGAACAACAAGCACGTTAAAATCGTGCCGTTATTTCTGTGTAATTCATCAGATAACACTGTTCGAGATCAAGTTTCGTCATCCCTCAAAAAAATGTTGACAATATTCCTCAATTAAGAGTGTTTAAAGAAATTTTCAACAACTCGATTCAAAATTAAGTTCTAACGGCCCTTGGATCCGATCAACAAATGAGATCGAATCAGAAGATATTTTCTTTCTTTTGTAAATATGATTCTACTCATCAATTTTTTATTTTATTTTATAAATTAATAAAATTATTGTTTATTTCATATTTCATTCTTTAATTTGCAAGCACGAAATTTATGTGTACAACAAATTTCTTGTTTCGTTCTTTAATTATAATAAGTAACTTACACATTTTTTTTATGATTATTCTTTTATTTTTTATTTTGTTTATTTCTAACAAAACCTACACCCCCAACTTCTATCCATCACTTAAAATACTTGGGGACACACCATTTATTAATATGGTTGATATATTATTAGTCCAAAGTTGAATTGCTAAGAATGTATTCTCTCAATATATAAGGGGGTAAGATCCACGTCATTCATAAATGAAAAAGGGTAACAATCAATCATGAGTACAGTTAGCATTTTTTATTGTTATATCTACCCCCAAATGATTATTTTGTTATTTATCTCACATGGGTGGTAGTTATTAAGATTACACCTATTGTCAAGATTGCAGTCATTGCCACTCAAATTAACTTAAATGGCCATTCAGGATGTATATATATATATGCGTGTGTGTGTGATATAATATAATATTAATATAATAAGCTAATATTATCCATTCCACACAAGTGTGTGGCAAAGAAAATCTCAATATTAGCTTAACTTTAAATATTATTTTATCTAAAACGATTGCTATTGAAATTTGAATATGTTAGTGTGATTGTATCTAAGTTTTTTTTTATTAAATATCACTGATGAGGAGTGAATTTATATGATTTTTAGTGTTATTTGTATTGTAATCATGTTAAGGTATAATTTTAATGTTATTTGTATTGTAATCGTGTTAACTTGATTAACTGTGTTGAATTAATCATAGTGCATTAAATTTTAAAACTCAAACCATTTAACTTAATTAAATTAATTGTGGTATAATCATCTTAGGTCAATCGGAATGGACCCTTTCAGTGTTTCAACCTATCATCTTTGTATGATATTGTAGTAAAATTATTGAGTAATTGCATTTTTTTTATTTTTTATTTGAACACAAGTTTACGTGATAAACTACTTAGGTGTTATTTATTTATTTATTTATTTTTAATTAAGTACATTTGATAATGCAATTTGAATAGCACTAAAAATAATAAACACATTTAAAATGAGGTAAAATATTAATAGTAGAGATATATTGTTTATCACGGCTGAACATTGAAATTAAAAAAAAAAAATTTACTTTTAATTATCACTTTTTTAAATTCACTACTTAATTTTCAATTTTATCAAAAAAAGTAACAAATTCGTGATTAGTGGGGCAAAGGGTCAAAGCGAGACCAGGAGCAATTTGGACTATGAAGGCGTTTACAAAATTTTAATTTTTTTATTATATTTATATATATTAAAAAATAATAATAATAAATTATCAAAGAGTTATGCCCTTAACCTTATTTATTAAACGTCTTACACTTGATAATAATTTCATATTCTTATTTCTAAATGAAACCAACACCAATATATATATATTTTTTGACGTCAATTTACACCACTCTCCATCCTTTCACCATGCAATGGCCCTACTATGATTAAATTTCACATTTATATAAATAAAAAAATACTATGATTAAATTTCACATTTATATAAATAAAAAAATGATTTTTTTTTTCCTTCATAAAAATATTATGGTGTAAGCTTTAAATATGACATGCAATGGCCCTCACTCACAAAAGTCTGAATTTGAAGCAACTGGATCTTCTTCAGTGATGCTTTGGCCAACAAAGATTTGATAAGCGCAACTAGTAACAGACAGTTCCACACACTCTCTCTCTCCCTCTCCTTGCTTAGAGAGAGAAAGCTGGGTTTGAGAAGGAAGGAAATAGACATAGTGGGTCAGTACTGAAGAAGATGGAGATGTTTGCAGGAGAGAATGGGTTACAGGGAGACCCAAGATTGAAGGCCATATCAGAAGCCATTAGGGTCGTCCCTCACTTCCCAAAACCAGGTACTCTTTTTGATGCTACGATATGTGTATGTGTTGTGTATATATTTTGTATCGTATACATCTATATATATGAGGACTTTCATCGAACAGCTTATATACTTAATCTGTGGCTGTTTCTGAGTGTGGCGTAGGAATAATGTTTCAAGACATAACCACGCTGTTATTGGATCACAAGGCGTTCAAGAACACTGTTGACATCTTCGTCGATCGTTACAGAGACATGGGTATCTCTGTTGTTGCTGGTATGTGCTTTTATTTATTTATTTTATTATATTTATATCTTCAGATAAAGAAAATTTTAATGTACTATTCATTTGATTTTCCTTTGCCTTTCGCCTTCATTCCGTGGCAATTGGGCTTTAATTTCCTTCTTTTTTTCGTTTTTGTTTTAATTTGGATTGGAAGAATAAATTTCTTTAACTACTTAGATGTATACTTTTTTTTTTTTTTTCTTTCCAAAATGAAGGCTCCATCTTTTTAGGCCAAAACTTGTTCCATCAAAAGTTCTACGTACAAAAGTTCTCTCTCTCAATAGTGTTTCTATGAGGCTCCATGATTTGTACTTTATCAATCTAGATAGCATTGGGGAGCAACATAGGAGGACATCTTAACATTTTTTGGATTGATTTATTTGTGTTTAAGCTTGTTATCATGTTACAATAAATTTTATTTGTCTACCTTTGGAAATTGTGTTGAGTTATATATGTAATTCTTATAAGTCAACTTGATTTAAAAGTTTCCTTTTTTTTTTTTCCTTTCTGGTTATAGTTTGGTAGAATTCTTTCCAAAATTATTTTCTGTACCATCTGTTTTTCTGCCTGTTATGCTTTAAATTTATCCTTGGTGTAATTTATATGGCTTGATTCATAAAGCCTATCATACATTAAAAGGTAACAAAGTGTAATTTGAGAGAAAAATTGGAGAGGAGAGTGACTTATGGTGCTCTATGGAGTGACTCTTCCACTAGGGGTGGGAGCATGGAAACACATTAGAAAGGGATGGAAATAATTATTGTTTGGATAGCCTGAGACTGTAGAGATAGGGAGATATTTTCTTTGTGCAATTGTTCTTTGGGTTCACCATCCTCTGAGCCTTTTTTTTAATGGATTTTAACTTATAAAAAAATGAGTAATAAAGACAAAAACAAAAAACCACTGCAAAAATTAGATTCATCGCCGAACTTTTTAATAAAAACTAATTTTTACCTTTTAAATCCTAAATGTATACCTATCTCATTTCGAATGACATGAAAGATTATACCTCTTTCATCTGCCGTCAAATGCACACCAAAGGATTCTTACTTTCACGGGAATTGTGTTTTTAAGTTTATAGCTAACTCGGCTATTTGATCAGTGAAAAAAATAGAAAATGTAAATGATGTATATTTGTTGCGGTAAAGTCACTACCAAAGTTTAAACAAACTAGCTACTGGATGAAAAATATATATATATTCCATTTCTGCAGTGACTAGTAGCAGACTGCAAAAGTAATCGGAGCTACATCACAGATTTGAAGTAAACTTTTCAGCCTTTTTTGGCTCCTTTAAGAATAAAATTTTGTAAAGCTAAACCATGTTACCATTACATAAGATTAAACAAAAGAATGGAAAATATGTTTTTGAAATTAGGAAGAAATTCAGGGAAATGAGAGCAAATAATTCCGATATTCAGAAAAGGTGATCCAGAACTATACCCGGATTTGGCATTATGGAGAAGTTTGTATCAGCCTATCAGGCTAAAAAAATGTAAAGAAATTTATGAATTAAAGACGGTTTGATGATGTATTTTGTTATGGAACTCTTTAGAAGAAATACTAAGATTTCCAGTTTAGTCTTTCTGGTTGCCCAATTGGTTTGTCTAAGTCATAAAAACTCTTTTAGTTCTTGATTTTACCTTCTAATATAATATTAGTAGTTGTCTGATAATACAATGCGAAAATCGCCCTTTAAATTGGATCTTACGCATGATGTTTGATGCTTACTCACTGTATCAAATTATATTCTAGGAGTTGAAGCTAGAGGATTTATGTTTGGTCCTTCGATTGCGTTGGCCATTGGTGCAAAATTTGTTCCACTACGTAAACCAAAAAAATTGCCAGGTATACTTTTAGACATTGATTCTGTGTTTATTGAGATATAAGTAGTATAGTCTCTGTGAGCTTGGCAACTTGCAACTTAACCACTAATTTTTATAAAATTGTGGAAATCTCTCTCTCTCTCAAACTATCTGTCTATCTATCTATTGAAATTGATTGAATAACTATTCTGAGAGAAGGAATTTTTATTGTTCAAGGCCAAAGATTAGTTCATTATATATCGCTGTTTTAGTCTATCATTTCTGCTCGGGTTCAGCTTCTATGTGATGCCCAAACAAACCTTAGTATGTGTAGATGATTGAACTTTTGGTGACATATTTCTTAAGCACCAGTTCCATCTTTTCTCCTTTCATTTTTTCTTAATTGAACCACCTTATTTTGCTGTCATGGGTAGGAACTTTGTTATCATGATTAGTTCTTGCCTGTTATGATTGAATATTTTCTGATATATTTAAAATTAAAACTTCTAAATTTTTGTTGTCTAGGAGAAGTCATATCCGAAGCATATGTGCTCGAATATGGTACTGACTGTCTAGAGATGCATACTGCTGCTGTTCAACCTGGGGAACGTGTTTTGGTCATTGATGATTTAGTGGCTACTGGTGGGACCCTATCTGCAGCCATAAGGCTTTTAGGTAAGCTATAGTGGTTCATTACGGCTTTCCTTTATCAGTTCGTTGAGCATATGTACTTCAACTGGTTCCTTAGCTCACTAACAGACTTCTATTATGCTTTAAATTTTTGTTAACTAGAACGTGTTGGGGCTGAGGTAGTTGAATGCGCATGTGTCATTGGGTTGCCAGAGGTCAAGGTAATGCTTCTTAAATTTTTATTTGTATGATTTTTCCTTGTTAGTCACATCTTTCAATCTTAGTTTAAGCTGCTTCCTAGAAATTTCTATTTGTATACTTTTTGATACTTTATAGCGATGAAAACTCATATTGATGATGGTGTTGCATGTTCACGCACATGATCTCTGGTGTGGTAGATTTGTTTTGCTTTAATTTCAATATCTACTAGTCCTTTTCTCATTAAGTTGAGTTTTGTGACTGTCATTTTCAGATCATCCTTTTGAACTAACTGTGGCACAATTGTATTGTTTTAGTATGAATCCATAATTGCATCTTTTGCAGAGACAGTGCAGGCTGAATGGAAAGCCACTATATGTCCTTGTGGAGCCTCGCCAATAATCTATTATTGAGATGGTATTTTTTATTGTTCTCATACTGTCATTTTCAGATCATCCTTTTACTGATTTTTTTCCTGTGATTATATTTTGATATTTCTACTTATCGGGGAATTTTATTTTATTTTTTTATTTTTTATATTTCTGTTCGTAAGCAGCTACTCAATATGCTATCATATTAAACTTTGAGTGAACCAAATATGTATTAATAGTCAGTGCAGCTTTTCTAAGAATCCACTCGGTTTCCTACCATACTAAGAACTCTTTCCTTGCTCCTACTCGGCCACTCACTAGTCATGTTCTTTCAGTCCATCATGGAATATAAATGACATTCTTTATGAAATGGATCTATATGTATGGTGCCATTGTTAATTCTTCTGAGATTTACTTTGAATTTCTCTGTGTAGGGTATATTCTAGGAGCTGCTACAAAAAGGAGCTTTTATGAACACTCGATGGTGGACTTGCTATCACCAGCTCCGCCTGACCTGTTTGTTGGGTGTATATAACTTGGTGATGATTCCTAAAGTCAGGAGTTCAGGGTTCTGTAGAGATTCCAATAAATATGCGATGAGAATATGTTGTAAATGCCGAACTAGGCTTTTAAAGTCATTAGCTTCACATTGAGTGTTACTGTGGCTCAGTGAACAAGCTAGGTTCTGCTTTTAGTCTCCTCCTGTTCAAGGTTTGCAAACTGCAATGCCATTGTTGTATTCTTATCCTTTCAAATGAAATCTATTCGGAAGAATTTGTAATTTCTTTTGTGTGCTACTTCTGTAATTCTAAGCCATTCTAAACCGCAATGATTTGGAGATAATTTGCTACATGTTTTACAAAATAACAGAAAAAGTTATTTGTACTCGTGGGTGAAACAAGGGTTATAGTCTAGTGTATCTCTTCTACTTTGTAAAGACAAAAGTTTAGAGTTTAAGTATCATCCCGACGAAAAAGAGGGTGTGATTTTAAAAAAAAAAAAAAACACTCACCACTGTGACAAACCAGAGGGAGAAAAGAGAAGGCAACTTGATTGAGCAATCCAACCTCACGTATGGTGGATTATATGAAGTCAGCATCCAAGTTCATTGGTGATGACAAGATGAACCCCATATAAGATAGTTTTAGTCCCACCATTTCCTGAAGGAGAGTATGATTATATGCCGCCATATTGGCTTCGTATCAATTCTAACTCCTAACCATGACAGACTGCATTTTGTATTACATTTACCAGGGATGGAGATCATTGTTCTGTGGCTTATGAAGAGAAGTCCAAGAACTTATTATGGTACCAGAACATGGCAAATAAACTCTAATGCTCTGTTTGGTAGAAAGAAAGAAAATTAGATGGAAGGGAGAGAAGAAGAGATGAATAAAACATTTCTAGGGAAGAGATTGCATCCTTCTCTCTTTTTGTTTGGTCGGATGGAAGGGAAGAGAAGGGAATAAGACAATATCTTATTTTGTTTGTTAGGAGAGAATAAAAGAAAGTGCTAATTATATGGAAATTTTGTAATTTAAAAACATTTATAATAGCCTTGTCTTTCTTCTTCCGTGTCTTTCGTGGAGGAATAGAAATTTGTGAAGGAGAAAGGATGACCCAACCATTCTCTTTTCTCTTCTCTCCTTGCCTTCTCTTTATTAAAAGAAGGTTGTTTGTTTCTTCCTTCTTATTTTCTCTCCACCCCTCTTCCTTTCTTCTTACCAAATGGAACATAAATATTTGGATAGAAGAAAGCTGTGATGAGGGCATTTTCCGTGAGGGATTAGGGTCTGTTTTGCCATTTCCCATCAATTTGGCTGGTCAATTTATGATAATTGTCAGTTGACTAGTTAAACGTTAATTAGTTTTGATCAGAAAATGTGTGTTTTTTTTTTTTTTTCATTAAAAGCATTTTAATAATTTTTTAGAAAGAAAAAGAATGTTGTTGAAATGTCATGGTCTATGTTGCAATGGGTAGGGATGTTAACGGGTCAAGTATGATACCAGTTGCTCTTATTTTTTAAATAATCAATTATCGAATCCATAAAGTCAGTCAGGTCTGAAGCGCCCATCTCACTATATAAATGAATAACTAAATACATTTTTAGAAATATTCAAGATCAATACTTTTAGAAAAATATACATATATATTCAATTTATATAACTACTTAAAACTAAACGGATCAACTTCAGAGTAAAATGAATTTTGACTCTTATTTAAAAACTTAATCTAAGTAGATTATAGGAGAACTCACTCTTTTCATTATGGTGGAAGTGGTCGGATTAAATTTTAAATCATCATAAATAAAAATTATTTGTTGGGTTGTGAAGTACCAGAATTATAATTAAAGAAATCTTACTACAAAGTTTGAACTAAATTAATACTAAGTTTGAACTTAAACTAAATTTGAAGGGTTCCTAGCATTGGTTCAAGGAGGCAGATGAGTTCATTGCCAATGGATCATGTGCTTAAGAGTAGTCTAGAAATTTATTTGGTTGACAGTTTTATATTTTTGTGCTTGTATGGAAGGTAAAAGATAAAGAGATTGACTAAAATTAATATGAAATAAAATAATAATAAACGATTTTTTTTAAAAAGATAAAGAGATTGACTAAAATTAACATGAAATAAAATAATAAGAAATATATATATATTTTTTTTAAAAAAAAAATAAACTAAATTTAGTAGGACAAATGACTTATATAAAAAATATTGAAAAAAAGAAAAGAAAAAAGACAAATGACTGTGCACACATCTTATAGGTTGAAAAACCCTAGAAGTTGTAATTAATGTCTCTTTCTTATTTTTTTGAAATTATAAAACTTCATCGACTAAATTACCCTTTTAAATTATTTTCTCTTTCTTTATACCTAATAACGTTCCTTCTTTCCTTTGTTATATATATTTTGTTTTATTTTATTTCTTTATTTTTAACAATTGTCTTTCTTTTCTTTTCTTTTCTTTTTTTTTCTGATTGGATATATATGGCTATACTTCATTCTTTATTTTATTTCGTTCACTTGTTATATATATATAGTGAACAAAAAAAGTTTCACCTTGATGGATTTTTTATTGGATTTTATGTAACTTAATTGAAATAAAGGTATGAGATTGAGTTTTAATTGAAGTAATATTATAAAATTTGAGTTTTAGTTAATATATGAAATAAGAGAAGTATGGTTTCTTGATCTATTCACAACAATATGATTATATATATATATATATATATATATATATATATATATAATGAAAGAATTGAAAAGAAAAAAAAAAAAGAAAGAAAAGGAAAGAAGCAATCAATTCACATATAATTTTTTTATTTTTTTGCTCTCTCTTTATTTAAAGAAGAGGGAGAAACAGTGAGAAACCATTTACAAGGTGAGCGCACACATATATATATATATATACATATATAACTAAAAACAAAACAATTGAAAAAAGAGAAAGAGAAAAGAATAAGACAGGTAAGCAAATAAGAATGAAAGTTATATATACAAATGCACATACGTGTAAGTAAGATAGAATAAAAAAAAAAGAAATATGAAAAGATAATTTGATTTCAAAAGTTGAAATTTTATAATTTCAAAAAACATAGAAAAGTGATATTAATTACTCCTATAATTGAGTTTTTTAACCAATAAAATGTGCGACTCAAAATGCTTGCACGACTATGTTCCGTTTTTACTAAGAATTAACATTTGTGGTGTCACACACCATAGCCTCCTAATGCGGAGTCTGGGCTCTTTTGGCCCATTATAATACCGAATGACCTAACCGAAGTAATTCATCGCCATCCAGACTATAAAGTTGAAACAGACTATAAAGTTGGGGCATCGAAGGATTTACAGTCATTATTACTCTCTCTAAACACATACACACTCTATCTCAAAACTCGATGCAGTGTGTATTTTAGGAGTTTTAGGGTTTATAGATCCGAAACAAAGACATGTGGAACAATAGCGGAATTGCTCCGCCAGGAACGGCGGGGTCGTCCATGGCACCACCGGGGACGGTGGGCTCGTCTATGGCACCGCCGGGGACGGTGGGCTCGTCCATGGCACCGCCACAACAGCCTTCTTACACTGTTCTGCCGTCGCCGGCGGAGGCGGAGGCTATTATCGAAGAGAGAGCCAGAAAGTGGATGCAACTCAATTCCAAACGCTACGGCGATAAGCGAAAATTCGGTTTCGTCGAGACGCAGAAGGAGGACATGCCTCCCGAACACGTTAGGAAGATCATCAGGTCAGTTGTTTTTTCTCGATTCGAGTTCAAGTTATGCAACTGTTTAAACAACGCTATCTTTACTTTACATGTATGTATTTGTTATGGAACATGTGTTTGTTTTCATGAACAGCTTTGTTTGTTTGTATGTGTGAACATGTGTTTGTTTTCATGAACAGCTAATTGAGTAGCATGGTTAGACTCCAATTGAGTAGCAGTGGAGTCGCTAGTCTGTCAAGAACAGGAAGCTCCCCGATTATGGGTGGTTGTAATTGTATTGATGAACTAAGTTCATCTAAAACTTAGAAGAGAAACCATACTAAAACATCATAAAGTTAAAATCAGCTTAATTGAGTAAATCAGCTTAATTGAGTAAATGATTATTATATCTTTCTGTGAAAAAAATATATATATATTATATATTTCTGTGAAGTTTGTAAATTTGGTTGATACGCGTACTGTTTATATGTTAAGTTGAGGGGTGTAGTATTCTTGTTTATTGTTAACGAATTGATTCTAGATTGAAAAATTGTAAGAACGATGAAACAATAGAGCGTGAAGTTGAGTTGTGTTTATTGACATGTGTTAGGTCCAATTTCTTTAGAGTATGATGAAGAGAAATTGTTTATTTATTTATTTTTATGGCTAATGATTATTGAGAGACTGGATGAATTTGGACCTTGTCGTTCATAGTGACAATAGCTGAACGTGGAGAAGTTTATTTAGGGGTAAGATTATAATTTTGAATTGAGTCATCAGAAAATTTCAAAGCAATTTTGAAGCCAGGCCAACTCACCAGACCTAAATAGTGATTCCAGAGCTGTATTTTATTAAGCAGGAAAATTTCATATATTGTGTTGAACTATATTATTGTTATAACTAGCTTGTAAATCTTATTGTTTTACAATATATTTGCTTGTCAGTAGGATGTATGATGTATAGTGTGTCGGAGTATAGACAGATGAAGAAAGTGTAGGAAGTTGTTTTAATCATATAGTGTGCCGGAGTTTAGATAGATGGAAGATAGAGTAGGAACGTGAGGTTGGGTTGTATAATAGTTTTTACATCTTGCAGTATTGGCATTTAAAACAATAGTTTTCTCTGCAAAACTAGAATAATGCATCCGCACTAAAAAAAAAAGAAAAAGAATAATGTAAAATTAAGTGTGTTTCCTTTGTAAAGAAGAAAAAGGAAGGGTAATTGATTAATATGTAAATTACCGGGAAAAAATGCTTAATATGTACCAGGAAGGATGGTCTGTGCTTGAAGCTGAGTTGGAGGCTAACTTTGTTTTAGCTGATGGCTGAGCTTCTGGAATATTTACTTAAAGAAGCTGCTTGGAATATGTTGATTGGTGATGATCAAACTGTTATTGGCATCAATTCCTGTGCACTGCTAGTTTCACTTCCACGTACCTAATTTTTAAGTTGACTCTAATCTTAATAGATCTGTTCACTTTTCGTCTGTCGACACCCACGGGATTATTTAGCATTGGGAGTTTATTTTTTTATGGTACTTGTGTTTATTTGTTGGTTGAAAATCTGGCATTGGACATTCTCGAAGTAGTAGATTTGATATTTTTAGTTCTTCAATTGCTGAGATTCAATGTGATTCATCGTTCATTTTCTGTTAATGCTCACCATTCATATTAGTTTATTTTTGCGTAGCCTTCTGTTATGATTACAAAAAATATGTATGTTTGCAAAACATAGTAAATTCAGTATCAATAGAATTTTTTTTTTTTTTTTTTTTGTGTAGGGACCATGGTGATATGTCATCAAAAAAATTCCGCCATGATAAACGTGTGTATCTCGGAGCTCTTAAATTCGTTCCACATGCAGTTTACAAGCTCCTTGAGAACATGCCAATGCCTTGGGAGCAGGTATTTGTCCTTTCTCTCCTTCCATGATTTTTCTTCATTACTTTACCTGTTTTAGGATGCTTCCGTTGCTTTTGCTTTGTAATCTTATGACGTTTATGTTATTCTAGGTCCGTGATGTGAAGGTCTTGTACCATATTACTGGAGCCATCACTTTCGTGAATGAGATACCATGGGTAGTTGAACCTATCTATCTTGCTCAGGTAATCTAATTTTGAACTCTCTCCCTCCCTCCCTCCCTTCCTCCCTTCCCTTATCTCCCTGGGCTATATTACAAGAACTGCAGAAGGCTATAGTCAATGGACAACAAATTCAGTTATGTCCCATTTAGTGATCCTGAAAGGTTCTTAAGAGTTCTTTTCTTTGGGAATGATTTTAGGAGCCACGATATTTTCTTCCATTTTTGTAGGGACAAATATAAAGCATGTGGCTTGACAAAGGTTATGGCCCTAAGTAGAGCGGAGTAGCGAAACAGGTTTCATAAAGCCGGTCCCTGATATTTGTAAAAAGGCTTTGTTGAGTTGAGTGTTTTAGGGACGTTAACTTCTTGTTTTATACTTCTTGTGCATGTGGTTATGTAGAATTAATTAACTATATTTTTGGAGATTGGTTAATCTTAATTTACAATTTTACAGTGGGGTACGATGTGGATCATGATGCGAAGAGAGAAGAGGGATCGTCGGCATTTCAAGAGGATGCGATTCCCCCCTTTTGATGACGAGGAGCCTCCATTGGACTATGCTGATAATCTACTAGATGTTGATCCTCTGGAACCTATTCAACTGGAGATGGATGAGGAAGAAGATTCTGCAGTGTATAATTGGTTTTATGACCATAAGCCTCTTGTGAAAACGAAGCTAATAAATGGTCCAAGTTACAGAAAGTGGCATCTATCTCTTCCCATCATGGCAACACTCCATCGGCTTGCTGGACAGCTGCTTTCTGATTTAATTGATAGAAACTACTTCTACTTGTTTGATATGGAATCATTCTTTACTGCTAAAGCCTTGAACATGTGCATTCCTGGTATGTTCTCAGCTTTCTTGGTTTACCTAGTTCACCTTTGTGTAAGTGTTTGTCGAAAATTGAAATATTATGCTATGGTCTGTACTATTTTAATTTAAAAATTTGGCGTCACAAGCATACCACGTTTTAGTTTGGCTTTGAACCTTGGTGTCTTATTGTGCTTCAGTTCTTTTAATACCTGTAGATTGAATAACTAATAAAGCATTCACATTCTTGCAGGTGGTCCTAAGTTTGAGCCTTTGTATCGTGACATGGAAAAAGGAGATGAGGATTGGAATGAGTTTAATGACATTAACAAACTTATCATTCGCTCGCCTCTTAGGACGGAGTACAGAATTGCATTCCCACATTTATATAACAATAGGCCCAGGAAAGTAAAGCTGTGTATCTATCATACCCCTATGATCATGTATATAAAAACGGAGGATCCTGATTTACCTGCATTTTATTATGATCCTCTAATACACCCAATAACCACCATTCATAAGGACCGTCGTGAGAAGAAAATTTCTGAAGAGGACGATGACGACGATTTTGAACTGCCAGAGGGGGTGGAACCCTTGCTGACGAACATTCCAATTTATACTGACACCACAGCTGCTGGTATTTCACTATTGTTTGCACCACGTCCTTTTAACATGAGATCTGGTCGTATGCGACGAGCTGAAGATATACCCCTTGTGTCTGAGTGGTACAAGGAGCACTGGTAAGATTGAATTCTATATTTCTTTGTGCTTTATATTCAGCTTATTTAAAAAATATCTGGGCTCATGCTTTTATGGTTGTTCTCTTGCAGTCCTCCGTCTTACCCGGTTAAAGTCCGGGTAAGCTACCAGAAATTGTTGAAATGTTTTGTGTTGAATGAGCTGCATCACAGACCTCCTAAGGCTCAGAAGAAGAAGCACTTATTCCGGTCTCTCCAAGCTACAAAGTTTTTTCAAACTACTGAACTTGATTGGGCTGAAGCAGGTCTTCAAGTTTGTAAGCAAGGGTATAACATGCTGAATCTGTTGATACATAGGAAAAATCTGAATTACCTTCACCTGGATTATAATTTCAATCTGAAGCCAGTGAAGACACTCACGACAAAGGAACGTAAGAAGTCACGGTTCGGTAATGCTTTCCATCTATGCCGTGAAATCCTGCGTTTGACAAAGCTTGTAGTTGATGCCAATATCCAATTCCGCTTGGGAAATGTGGATGCATTTCAGTTGGCAGATGGTTTGCAATATACATTCTCCCACGTTGGCCAGTTGACAGGCATGTATCGTTACAAGTACAGGCTTATGCGACAGATTCGAATGTGCAAAGATTTGAAGCACTTGATATATTATCGGTTTAATACTGGACCAGTTGGGAAAGGACCTGGATGTGGCTTCTGGGCACCAATGTGGAGGGTGTGGTTGTTCTTCCTTCGTGGCATAGTACCTCTTCTGGAACGGTGGTTGGGTAACTTACTTGCACGACAATTTGAAGGGCGACATTCAAAAGGAGTTGCCAAGACTGTGACAAAGCAACGTGTTGAGAGCCATTTCGACTTGGAACTTCGGGCTGCTGTCATGCATGATGTTCTTGATGCCATGCCAGGTGATCAACTCATTTTTTTACTTTATTAATCTTCTATAGGATATTGTTTTACTTCATTTTTTGACTTTATTAATCTTCTATAGGATATTGTTTACTTTTCACATTTTGTTATTAATTGTTCATGTGGTTTCCTTGTCTATGTCATGATGGCGTATCTTTGAACTGCAGAGGGCATTAAGCAAAATAAAGCAAGAACTATCTTGCAGCATTTAAGTGAAGCATGGCGTTGTTGGAAAGCAAACATCCCTTGGAAGGTATTATAGGTGTCTTGGTTTTTTATTTCTCCCGTTATTCATCTATTTTGATATTGTCTCACTAGAGGATTTTTTAGGTGCCTGGTTTGCCAGTTCCAATTGAAAATATGATCCTTCGTTATGTCAAGTCAAAAGCTGATTGGTGGACAAATGTTGCTCACTATAATCGTGAACGTATTAGAAGGGGTGCAACAGTTGACAAGACGGTCTGCAGAAAGAATCTGGGGAGACTGACTCGCCTTTGGCTAAAGGCTGAACAGGTCTATATATTATATTTTTTGTCTATATTTCTTAAATCTATCTTGTACTTTAATGGTGATATTTCTTACTGCATAGGAAACTTATTGCCCATCATTTGATGCTTCTAACTATTGATATGTTCCTTTTTAATTTTTTATTTGTTTTATTTATTTTTCTTTTGCTTATAATTTTTTCCACCCTTTCTATAGGAACGTCAGCATAATTATTTGAAAGATGGTCCATATGTCACGCCAGAAGAAGCAGTGGCTATTTATACGACCACTGTGCATTGGTTGGAATCAAGAAAGTTCTCCCCAATTCCCTTCCCTCCATTGTCTTACAAGCATGATACGAAACTTCTGATCCTTGCTCTTGAAAGGTTGAAGGAATCATATAGTGTGGCTGTGAGGTTAAATCAACTACAAAGAGAGGAGTTGGGCCTCATTGAACAAGCTTATGACAATCCACATGAAGCTTTGTCACGGATTAAGCGTCACCTGCTTACGCAACGTGCTTTCAAAGAAGTATGTTTTATGATACCTGAGAATGAGTTTTGTTTTAGCATCTGAAAGTCACTGCTAAAAACATGAATATAATTGAGAATGTTATATTTTGCAGGTTGGAATTGAGTTCATGGATTTGTACAGCTATCTGATTCCAGTTTATGAGATTGAACCTCTTGAAAAGATTACAGATGCATATTTAGACCAATATCTGTGGTATGAAGGTGACAAGCGCCATCTCTTTCCAAATTGGATAAAACCTGCAGATTCAGAGCCACCACCGCTTTTAGTTTATAAATGGTGCCAGGGAATAAATAATTTGCAAAGTGTATGGGACACTAGTGAAGGACAATGTGTGGTGATGCTTCAGACTAAGTTTGAGAAATTCTTCGAAAAGATTGATTTGACCATGCTTAACAGGTGAGACTATGGTTTGAATTATTTTGTTGCATCTATTTGGCATAAAATTTCGGAATGTTAACATTGTTTTTTTTTTTTTTTAATTACTTCTGTAGGCTTTTACGTTTGGTGCTTGATCATAATATTGCTGATTATGTGACTGCAAAGAACAATGTGGTGTTGTCGTATAAGGACATGAGTCATACAAACTCATATGGGCTTATACGTGGTCTTCAGTTTGCTTCTTTTGTCGTACAATATTATGGACTTGTGCTGGATCTCTTGCTTCTTGGTTTGACTCGAGCCAGTGAAATTGCTGGTCCACCACAGATGCCTAATGAGTTCATTACTTATTGGGACACCAAAGTAGAAACGAGACATCCAATACGGTTGTACTCTCGGTATATCGACAAGGTGCATATATTGTTCCGCTTCACCCATGAAGAGGCTCGTGATCTTATCCAGCGATATCTTACTGAGCATCCTGATCCCAATAATGAAAACATGGTTGGTTATAACAATAAGAAGTGCTGGCCAAGAGATGCAAGAATGCGTCTCATGAAGCATGATGGTAAGATTTTATCCTATTTTGCCTTAACCAGAAATTTATGCAAAAGTCTTTAATGCAGTGGTTTTTAAGAGATTTAAGGAAACCTGACTGCTTTGCTATTTTCCAGTCAATCTTGGGAGAAGTGTATTCTGGGATATGAAAAACCGGCTTCCTCGAAGTATCACAACTTTGGAGTGGGAGAACAGCTTTGTTTCTGTTTATAGCAAAGATAATCCGAACTTGCTTTTCAGCATGTAAGTATATTTTGTTACAGTTTCTCTGATCATCTTTTTCATGTATGATTGATTTTGTGTAGAGTAATAATAAGCTTGCCTTTCTACTGGCTACTGTCATATCTTAGTCCCTCTTGCACCCTTAAAAAAAGAAAATTTTGACAAGTAATCCCTCTTGCACCTTTTGGTTCTTCTCTCCTGGTCACACCGTGTTCTTCAGTCTGATTCTGCTTAGATTATTTACTTGTTGATTTTTGTGTGAGCATCACAGTCGTGAATTAACAAATTCTTTGTGGTTTGACATTGTTGATTTGGACTTTATTCAACCATGGTTTGCCAAAAAAAAGGGGTTCCCAGTTTAGCTTGTTGACACAGATATTCTCATAGTCATGTCAGTGCAATTTAAAGCCACAAGGCGCCACCACACCACCCCCCCCCCCCCTCCTCCTCCTCCTCCTTTTCTGTTTCACCTCTGTTATTTGCTGTCTGCTGCTAGAGGACAGGATGATTAGATTTTCATTATTTTGGTTTTGATACATGATATATAATAAATGCTGTTGATGTGTAGGTGTGGATTTGAGGTTCGTATACTACCTAAGATAAGAATGACCCAAGAGGCATTCAGCAACACAAGAGATGGTGTTTGGAATCTGCAGAATGAACAGACCAAGGAAAGGACTGCTGTCGCTTTCTTACGAGTTGATGATGAACATATGAAGGTTTTTGAGAATCGTGTTAGGCAAATTCTTATGTCTTCAGGATCAACCACGTTCACAAAGATTGTCAACAAATGGAATACGGCTCTTATAGGCCTGATGACATACTTCCGTGAAGCAACAGTGCATACACAGGAACTGTTAGACTTGCTGGTGAAGTGTGAAAATAAAATTCAAACCCGTATAAAGATTGGATTAAATTCAAAGATGCCTAGCAGGTAAATTTCTTCGTCATGCAAGCTATTATATTTCAATTAAGACCTATGTTAGTGGGGTCTTCCTAAATGTAATTTTTTTGTTTTCAGGTTCCCTCCTGTCATTTTCTACACACCAAAGGAAATTGGAGGGCTTGGCATGTTATCAATGGGTCATATATTAATTCCACAGAGTGATCTCCGGTACAGTCAACAGACAGATGTTGGTGTAACACATTTTAGGGCTGGAATGAGTCATGAAGAGGACCAACTGATTCCAAATCTTTATCGTTACATACAGGTATAGGAATTCTTATATTCATATATCATATTTCCTGCATATATTTTACTTCATTGTGTTAATAATCATTCTGGCTTCTTAACAGCCATGGGAGAGTGAGTTCATTGATTCACAGAGAGTTTGGGCAGAGTATGCACTCAAGAGACAGGAAGCTCAGTCACAAAATAGGCGTTTGACCCTTGAAGATTTGGAAGTGAGTATTTCTGGTTTACCGGGATGGGTGGTATTGGAATGTATTCTATTTGTAGCTGTTAACCAATTATTTGGTCAACAACATTAATTTTGTGAAGCATGAATATGGTTTATTTTAGTGGGGTGACTAATTGTTTATTTCAATTCATTCTACAGGATTCATGGGATCGCGGAATACCTCGAATCAATACTCTGTTCCAGAAAGACCGACATACACTGGCATATGACAAAGGATGGAGAGTTCGGACAGATTTCAAACAGTATCAAGTCTTGAAACAAAACCCATTTTGGTGGACTCACCAAAGGCATGATGGGAAATTGTGGAACTTGAATAACTATCGTACTGATGTTATCCAAGCACTTGGGGGTGTTGAAGGAATTCTGGAACATACATTATTCAAGGGAACTTAGTATGTTTCTCTTTCCCTCTCTCTCTCTCTCAGTTTTTTTTTTTTACATTTCTATTATTACCATCATTACTGTTTCTTAGTATCATAAGCTAATTATTAATTTGGGCAACTCAATGGACTTAAGAGAAGAAACTATAATATAAAGTACAATCTACACACAGCATATTGTCTGCCTCCTGATAGAAGGTTTGGGATTTATGGAACCAATGAAAATCATTTATATCCTTCTAAGATGATGGCTGTATTTAGGCTCACGAGAAGTCACTTTGGTGTGTGGCAATTAGTATTTCTGGCAATAGTTGAATGTGTTCACAAATTGTTAAGGTTGAGAGTTTGCATTGACAAGTACTTCGGTAATTAACTTATTATCTTTGATATTTCAGCTTTCCAACTTGGGAGGGTCTTTTCTGGGAAAAGGCTTCAGGTTTTGAGGAGTCCATGAAATACAAGAAACTGACAAATGCTCAAAGATCTGGGCTCAACCAGATTCCTAACCGTCGGTTTACCCTTTGGTGGTCGCCCACAATAAATAGGGCCAACGTCTATGTTGGATTCCAAGTGCAATTAGATTTGACTGGGATATTCATGCATGGGAAAATACCAACTCTTAAGATATCACTGATACAGATATTCCGTGCCCATTTGTGGCAGAAGATTCATGAGAGTGTAGTAATGGATCTCTGCCAGGTTTTGGATCAAGAATTGGACGCATTGGAAATTGAGACTGTTCAGAAGGAAACAATCCATCCTCGAAAGAGCTACAAAATGAACAGCTCTTGTGCTGACATCCTTCTGTTTGCAGCCCATAGATGGCTCATGTCAAAACCCAGTTTAGTTGCCGAATCAAAAGATGTTTTTGACCAAAAAGCGAGCAATAAATACTGGATAGATGTGCAGCTCCGTTGGGGAGATTATGATTCTCATGATATTGAGCGCTATAACCGGGCAAAGTTCATGGATTATACTACAGATAACATGTCTATCTATCCGTCACCAACTGGTATAGCATCCTTTTTTGTTTTTGGTCATAGTTAACTTGTTAAATTTCTGTATTCAGGCTAATTAGTTTGTTGTTTTCATTGCAGGGGTTATGATTGGCATTGATCTTGCATATAACTTGCATTCTGCTTTCGGGAACTGGTTTCCAGGGTCAAAACCGCTGCTTAATCAAGCTATGAATAAGATTATGAAGGTGTGCTGATTGTAGTATTTATTGTTTAAATGTTCTACATCTACAGATAAGTTTATACTAGTAGATTATAGATTCAGAGCAGTAGACTAATGACATTTTGTGTATATGCAGTCAAATCCAGCTTTATATGTTTTGAGGGAGCGGATAAGGAAAGGGTTGCAGTTGTATTCTTCTGAGCCCACAGAGCCATATTTATCATCTCAAAATTATGGGGAGATATTTAGCAATCAAATAATTTGGTTTGTTGATGACACAAATGTGTATCGTGTCACAATCCACAAGACATTTGAAGGAAATCTCACAACAAAACCCATCAATGGTGCAATCTTCATATTTAATCCAAGGACAGGGCAGCTGTTTCTGAAGGTTTGTTTTTGTTATGAAGCGCAATTAAAGTAATAGTCTTCTTCTTTATCATTATTTAATATAAAGCGTGTAATTCTTATTTCTTTCAGGTGATTCACACAAGTGTATGGGCGGGACAAAAGCGACTTGGTCAGCTGGCCAAGTGGAAAACAGCAGAAGAAGTGGCTGCTCTTGTGCGTTCCTTGCCTGTTGAAGAACAGCCAAAGCAAATCATTGTGACTCGTAAAGGAATGCTGGATCCCTTGGAGGTTCACTTGTTGGATTTCCCTAATATTGTTATTAAAGGAAGTGAGTTGCAACTGCCATTCCAAGCTTGCTTAAAGATTGAGAAATTTGGTGATCTGATTCTGAAGGCGACAGAGCCACAAATGGTTTTGTTCAATATATACGATGATTGGTTGAAGAGTATTTCATCTTACACGGCATTCTCCAGACTCATTCTGATTCTGCGTGCACTTCATGTTAACAATGAGAAAGCGAAGATGTTATTGAAGCCTGACAAGACAATTATCACTGAGCCTCACCACATCTGGCCATCTCTTACAGATGATCAATGGATGAAGGTATGTCAACTTAACCACTTGCATGTTTAGGTACTGGTGTAGTCGTATGCATAGGTTGACTGATTGCTTCCACTTGATCTAAAAGGATTAAATTGAGACTTTTTAATTCGATTTTACTTTACAAAGCTTGTATTGACTTTGAGTTGCCATCCTTGAATTTTGTGAATAATTGCTGTATGAAGAATTGTTCTTAATTTTCATATGCAAAGCACACTAATAGATTGTATGGTGCAGGTTGAAGTTGCTTTAAGAGATCTTATACTCTCAGACTATGCCAAGAAAAACAATGTGAACACATCAGCACTGACACAATCTGAGATTCGTGATATAATACTTGGAGCTGAGATTACTCCACCATCACAACAGAGACAACAGATTGCCGAGATTGAGAAACAGGTGAATTCTTGTTAATGTGTGTGTGTGTGTGTGTGTGTGTGTGTGTGTGTGTGTGTATTCATTTTGTGAAATTGTGCTGTTTTCTTTCTAATAATTATGATAAGATATATTAGTTGTGGTTGTGTATCTAGTTAGAGATATAATTTTACTTTTGTGTTCAGGCAAAAGAAGCGAGTCAGTTAACAGCAGTCACTACAAGGACGACAAATGTGCATGGTGATGAACTCATTGTCACTACCACAAGTCCTTATGAGCAAGCTGCTTTTGGGTCCAAGACTGATTGGCGTGTGAGAGCAATTTCAGCTACAAACCTTTATCTTCGAGTGAATCATATATATGTGAATTCAGAGGACATAAAGGTACTTCTTCACCTATCTCTTGTAGTAATTTATGAACTTTGAATGTTTAATATTTGCTTACATTGGAGTTAACTGATGATGCAGGAAACAGGCTACACTTACATCATGCCCAAGAACATCTTGAAGAAGTTCATATGCATTGCCGATCTGCGGACTCAAATTTCAGGGTACTTGTATGGCATAAGTCCTCCAGACAATCCTCAGGTCAAGGAAATTCGCTGTATTGCCATGCCACCACAGTGGGGCACCCATCAGCAAGTTCATCTCCCATCAGCTCTCCCTGAGCATGACTTCCTGACTGATTTGGAGCCTCTGGGATGGATGCACACACAACCAAATGAGCTTCCCCAGTTGTCACCACAGGTTTTTGCTTTGTTCATCTTCTGTTCTCAATTGTGTAATGGATTTTTGTATAAAAGTGGTTTTTTAGCTTCCTAATTATATATGTTAAGATTAGTAGTGGGATCGAGCTGTGCCATGATTTGTCCTCTGAACCAAGCAATTTACTGGATGCAGGATCTTACTAGTCATGCTCGGGTTCTAGAGAACAACAAGCAATGGGATGGGGAAAAATGCATCATTCTGACTTGCAGTTTTACTCCGGGTTCCTGCTCGCTAACTGCATATAAGCTTACCCCAACAGGTTATGAGTGGGGGCGTGCCAACAAGGACACTGGAAGCAATCCTCATGGTTATTTGCCAACACATTATGAAAAGGTCCAGATGCTGCTGAGTGATCGTTTCCTTGGTTTCTACATGGTAAGAATTTGTCAGATTGTGTTTTTTATGTCAAGAATTCCTTCTGTCTTTAAACTGTACAATTGCATCATTGATATTCATGTTGCGTATGGTATACTATTTTTTTTTATTGTCTTCAATGTTCTAACTAGGTCATTTTGTGGCTTGTGTTAGATCCCGGATAATGGTCCATGGAATTACAACTTCATGGGGGTGAAGCACACAGTGAGCATGAGGTATGGTATCAAGCTGGGAACACCTCGAGAGTACTATCACGAGGATCACAGGCCAACTCATTTCTTAGAGTTCAGCAACTTGGAGGAGGGTGACACTGCAGAAGGTGATCGTGAGGATACATTCTCATGAAGTTCAGTACTTTCGATTAGCTTGCCTAAATCACTGTATTCCTAGTTTTCACTTTGCTAAAAAAAAAAAAAAGAACCAACGTTAACAAGATAGTGGCAAGGCCAGTCATTGGACTGATGTACATTTTTTGATGTGGCTGTGCATCCAGATTGTAGCTGTAAGCTGTTGTAGTAAAGCCAATGAGTTGAAAATGTTATGATGTTTAGAAATGTGAATGCTGCATATTGATCTAGTTTTTGATGCGGTTGCTAACTAAGTCTTGCTTTGCTCCTTTTGATTACATCGTTCAGCATACTGAAGACACAATCAGATATAAATATTTACTTGGTGGTAGTAACAACTTATGATGGGTAAATTGTCAAAAAAACCTCCGGCTATATAGGTGTTTATTATAGCATTTCAGTGCTTTGACAAAGATATATACACGTATATAAACACATGTTAAACACACGCCTTCTTGTCTATATGCATGATAATCCTGTGATGATGCCTTTGATTCAACTGCTATTCTTTATGGTGAATTAACCGGTTACATGGGAAACAGTATAATATTGTTGTCAATCTTTTTTTAAAATTTCCTGTGTTTCATTTCACCAATAAATCACCGTCCTCTCTCCTCTTCAGTAACACAACGCCGCTGCCGCTGCCGATTGCTGATAACCTCAACCTCCGAAGACTCCACAGAAAACCCATTTCCTTCCCCATTCCAGGCCTTCTGATGCTCACTGCCACAAATGCTGTTCCGATGAAGAGCAAAGGCCTGTTATTCATTGCATGCACAACATCCACTAGTTAGCTTTATTTCAGGCCACTGCTAACATATCTAACAACAATAGGTACATGACTAGTGACCATTCCATCTCGATCTAGTTTCAAACCATAAAACCACTTGGCTCAAAGGATGCACCCATTGACTGCAATTCATAAGGAAAACCCAGATATGTAACCCTTTTGTGGAATTACTTGGAATATTTACAACAATCTCATAAAATTTAAAAATTATTTGCCGGAGGCAACAGTACCTATGTACCATATAATCTAAATTGTTCAAACCTATCTTGTAACCATGGTTTCAACTCTATAGGCTGTCACCATACCCGATGAAAACAAAAAAACAAAAAAAAAAATAGTATACCTCAACGCCACACCATGCCCAACAAGGGGGGAAAATCACTGTAATTTAATCAATATCATATATAATATACACCCACACACTCTAATCTTGCAACCTGTAAGTTCAGCCGTCATGTATTGTTCCACGGTCATCTTCTAACTCTATTGATTGCTGTTTTATTTCTCTATCCTCGGATTTGAAGTTAGAGCCGCCTTCTGCACCAGTTACTGCAGCCTGAGGACTCTTGAACATTTCATCATTTCGTAGAACAGAAAACTTCTCTTTTAATTCTCCCTTCAGTAGCCCCACCACCTCAAGCATCGTAGGTCTCTTCTCGGGCTGGCTATGAGCACAGATTAGAGCAACATATACAACTCTTTTCAACTCTTTCTCCACATACTCCCCATTCAGCCTTGGGTCCACAAGTTCGCTGAACTTCCTCTCACATGCCAACGGCAGAGCCCAATCAGTGATTGTGCGCTTCATGGTTGCACTGAGCTTCTGAACAGGTTTCTTGCCACTGGCAAGCTCTAGCAGAAGTATGCCAAAGCTGTATACATCAGAGCTCTCTGATTCCTTTCCCAATGTTGCATATTCTGGGGCAATGTAGTCAAGAGACCCCTTCAATCCAGTTGTCACATGTGTTTCACTATCAGGTATTAGCTTTGCAGATCTGAAATCAGCAACCTTAGCGTCGAAATCTGAATCTAGTAAAACATTGCTTGCTTTAATGTTTCTATGGATTATGTGTGGGGTTGCATGGTGGTGAAGATAGCTGTACAAAATTAAATTAAATGTTAGATTTGACAGCAAGAGAAGAGAGAGATTTAGGATTCAATACTTACGCAATTCCCTCAGCACACCCAATTGCAATATTCATTCGTCGGTTCCAATCAAGAAGGCATTCTGAGGAGGAATGCCCATGAAGATGAGAGAGTAAGTTCAGATTAGGCATGTAATCAGACACAATTAGATGCTCTTGCCCTTCAGCACAATAGCCACGTAAACTGAGCAGATTCTTGTGCCGTATACGTGCCAATGTCTCAACCTCAACAGTGAATTCTGTCTCTACATTGCTGCTACTAACCTTCAATCTCTTAACTGCAATCTGCATATTACCTTTGTCAGCATGAAGTTTCATAATCTATATAAAAGCCAAAAGGGGAACTATGAGGCATGACCTCAGAAATTAGACACAAGAAGATGTAGATTCAGAGACACAACCTGTTCTTACAAAATAGGATACGGATATAAAAAAGATACAACAATATGTGTATATATTGTATTAATGTAGATATTTACTTAAAACAAAAGTATATATGTGTCGATGTATATATTGACAATAATAATTGTTTGTAATGTTATTTATATTATTATAACAAGCTAGACTTTTATTGTGTGGAACTTTGGACCAAACTAGTCGTGATAGATTCATTATATATCTCATCTTTCTCTCCTTTTTTTTAAAAAAAAAAAAGAAATTCTATGTACTTGGAACCCTTGTTATGCTCTTCCTAACAATTTTGCTATGATACTATATTTAGAAAAGTCACATTTTAATGTTCAGACAAGTTAAATATCTATCCCAAAGTATCAGAGAAGTATCATATACACGGCCAGAGTATCTAAGAAGTATCGAATACTTGTTTGAAATAAGAAAGTTTACTTTCAATTTTCAGATACATTCATAAAGTATCAGGCATGATTCCACGAGTAATCGAGGAGTAACAATATTTGATATGGATACATCTCTTTTATAGAAATAGCCGTGTTTCATTGGAGGTGAGTACTGTACTACTGTGGTAGAGAATTATCGAGGTGTTTCTATTGCCTATAAACAAAAAAATAAAAATAAAAATAAAAATTACGATGGAATCACCCTTGCATAGATTACTCTTGAGGAAATGTATGGTTAAGAATTGCTTGAACTTTAACTTATCAAAAAAAAAAAAAAAAAAGAATTGCTTGAACTTTAAACTCATCAACTGTGCTATCTTAGGCTCAAACAATGTAAGTTCAAAGCTTTAAGGTTGTATTTGGGAAAAGGAATTGCTTTATTTGGCTGCTAGGGTATCTTAACCAACTCACTTCAGCAATCATGAAACCAGTCTACATTACATGGCCATCACAACTTAAGTGATCCATAGAAATAGCATGCCCAGTTCCTTATCTATAAGAGGTCCATACCGTAGAACATAAAATAGGGCTAAAAATCCTAGCCCAGTGCACAAAGCTCCTGTCATTGCAGAGTCTGGGGGTCAGGCACGGATCTACATATAACTTAGGCCCACCAATTTATTTTTTTAGTAATATACCCTACTATTTTTTTTTTTTTTTTTTTGAATTATATACCTATAAAATCTCACTATTGCCCCCACTCAAATTAGTAAAAGAATTCACTATTGCCCCCCCTCCCCCTTCACATAATTTTCTGGGTCCATCCCTGCTCGAGGTCATACGTACGCAGCCTTACCTCTGCATGCGAAGAGGTTGTTTCCTTGTTTTGAACCCGTGACCTCCAAGTCACAAATAAATTCTCCTTGGTTTGTTATTTTTCTGATGAGAAAACCCTTACATAACAAAAGGAAACACAACTAACTATTAGTAGTAACTTCTTATATTGTACCAAAAACTTCATGAAGGCTAGTGTAACACAAATGTCGCCAAACTGATTATGCATACTCACATTTCATACCTTTGTGTATCATCATAGCAAAAGTGAGTATTTCATACCTTTGTGTATCATCATAGCAAAAGATGTACTACATTTAGATACAAACAGTGTTTGTTGATAGTCCAATATATTTAGGAGCATGCAAGAGCCTTCCATATTTCCCACTTTATCGGACTGCATGGCTAGGTGTATGTTTTTCTTTTATAAGAAGTCCATAAGTGAAATAAAAATAAGGTTTTAAGTTTCAACTCAATATAATGGTACTTGCTATATTGCTGAATGTATTGGCTTTTCTCTCTTTTTTTATTTTGGTAAGTCTTTAAAGTACACTACATGTTCAAACTCATATATGAAACCGCAAAACAAACTTTTATAATTCAAAGTCTAAACATTTAATGTGAAATTGTAAACATCTAACTATATTATATAGCATTATAGTAGTTAAATGTGCAAGATCTATCCATGTAATCGTATCAAGTTTTGGATACAATTCCAGCCAAAATCCCTGTATACTAAAGTTTGAGAATAGGAGGTATACATTTAGACATACACCATGCTGCACCTGGTACACAGCATTGAAATCCGTGTAATATATTAGTTAATAAAAGGAAGTTGAAGAAAGCAAGCATGAAAATGCAGCACGAGTTCCCACATTAATGCCCTTTCCTGCAACTTAACGACTATACCAAATCCTAGTGAAATACTCTTGCTTATGTCTAATGTCAACTTAAGATTGGTTCAAACAGCAGAAAATAACATATTGGGAGCCAATGTTGGTTGTTGATCTGCATCGCAAAAGGATAAATCTTCCACTATCCAAAACTATGATAATAACTTTCTTCTATGATTTTCTTCTTCTTCTTCTTCTTTTTTTTTTTTTTTTTTTTTGTTCCCCCTCTCTCTCAAAGCCTCCATCAAAATGATGGATCAGGAGGGATGAACAGGGTCAAAACATGTCTCATGACATAAGCAAATGCCACAGCTAAACCATATTGCATTTGCACTGAAGGAATTAGAATAGAAGGAAAAGAAATGATAGCTTAAATCGTGTTGAGTTTAAAAGTGAGGTGGGAAATGGAAGCAAAATGAATGATAGTTTAAATTCTTCAACAATATTTTCTCTAAGCTTTCAAAAATGGACGGAAACAAAAGGAAAGTATAAGAGTTAGCGATTACTTGTTTACATCTATTTTTTGTAACAAGTGAGTTCCTATTTTGCTCTTAGCATTTATAAAATAAAGTAATCAACATTTTTTCTCTAAATTTTTCAAAAACGAAAAAAGCTTAATACTATCATTTCCTTTCTTTTCCCTTATTCAAATACAAGAAGAGGTCGATACTATTTCCTTCTTTCCTTTCTTTTCTCTCATAACTAAACTTATGATATCCTTTCCTTTTATCTCTTACTTATCTAGACACACAATAATATGATCCAACTTGAATGCTATCACTTTTAAAATTTGAAAGACTCAGTCACTCACTTCTTACTTCATAAAAAGGACTCCCAATCTTATTAAAGAAAGTATAATAAAGATTTCTGTAATAAATAAGATTCCAGCAGTTACTATGACATTTCACAAATTCCTTCACAAGGAGTTTAAGAAAAATTCAATATAATGCTTTAAACTCCTATCTTACTGCTTTAAACTCCTATACTAGTATTTACCAATATTACTTTTTACTATACTAGTTACTATGACATTTCACAATATTACTTTTTTACTATACTAGTATTTACCACTATCTTAATGCTTTAGATTCATATTAATCATGCATCGGATTTGCCATGGCCTCTATTCTATAGGAGGTTCTTGGAGAGCCAATCTAGACAGGTAAACCCAACTTTTCTGCCTCATTATTTAATCTCCAATTAAACATCAAATTGGGGGAAAAAAATTTAAACATCAAATCCATATAATTTAAGTTGAAATTGCTAATTCAGCACAAAACCAAATCATCCATAAACAGAGACTAGCAAATGCAAGTAACATTTTCTGAAATTTTCAATAACTAAACAGTATTGTGCTGTTAAGAAGTCACGAATTGCAAATGTAAACAATGAATCCCACACGCCTATGGGTAATATTTGCAATCCTTATTTGCTTTATAAATTTAATTATAATATCAACAATCAAATAAATTAGTTTTTTTTTTTTTTTTCAAAGCAGTTCTATTGCTTAATCATTTAATAATACATGTTTGAAAATGAAAAAATATATCAGAAAACTTAATTCAACAAAATAATTAAATATGGAAAAATAATAATAATAATTAGGTGCATTACTTGTGATCCATCCCACAGCTGACCCCAATAAACGCTGCCAGATTCACCTTCTCCAAGCTTGTTGTCATAATTAAAGTTGTTCGTCGCCGCGTGCAATTCCCTCAAAGAAAAAACTCTCCATGTCCACTGCTTCGTCCCCTGCTTTTTCCTGTACAAATTCAGCAATCTACTCATCAAAAACAAATTCATCCCTTCAACATAACACACCAATTCTAGCTGTTTGGTTCACAAAAGAGTGAAATTACCAACTCAATTAAGTCTCGTCTGTCCTAAGCTAACCTGTACAATATCTAAAATACAAATATTTATACACATATATATAATTATATATGAAAATTAAAAGAACCATTTTTATTTTCATTATCTTTGGCCACAATACACGTATTTCTCTAAAAAAAAAAAAAAAAAACTGTATCAAACGCCTAGCCCAGAATATGTATATACACTATACACACACATATATATATATATTAGCACAATAAATTAAGTTCAATTACACTATCATCAATATAATATACGGACAGAATGATTGAATGATAATTAAACGTACCGATCAAAACCCTTTCCGCAACAAATTATAGAGAAAAAACCCATCCCATGCGACGCGATTCTCTCCCCTCTCTCTCTCCACTCTTTCTTTATTTCTCTCTCTACACTTCCACAATATCTTCTTACTATTGAAGCCTGAATCGAAACCCTTTCAACCACAAAACACAGAGCTCAAAGCCGCAAACTTCCCCCTCTTTCTCTCTCTTCCTTCTCTCTCTAAATTATTTATCTGGATCGAGGCTGGTTGCAGTGTGAAAGAGGAGTCTTCTTCCTTTGACTTTTTGTTTGTCCGGTAGATGTTTCAATAAATATGATAGCAAGAGGCTATTCAATTAATTGAAATTTCATATAGGTCCTTGAACTTCTGTGCATTTCGAATTATCCAATTATCTAAGATCTACATATTAGTGTAGAGTTACAGGAATCCCTAGTATGGAAATAAGTAAGTAAGAAAAGAAATAAGAAATAAAAAATAAAAAGAAAGTGAAGTGAACAAAAAATAAAAATTAATTTTTTAATATGTATTTAGTTTGTATGAAAATTTATTTAAGAAAATTATAAAAAAAAAAATATCATTTAGATAGTTTGGATAGCATGAAAACTGAAAGTAATTATACCCTTATGATTTCAAATGCTAAAAAAATAAATACATTTGTGTTTAATTATATTCATTTTTAGTAAAGAAATGGTAAAAATAATGGATTATTAAATTTAATAATATAAATGTTTAATATTTATTTTTATTATTTATATTTAAAATAAGGCTTTATAATATGTTTTTTTTAGGTAGAACTAATATTAGTTTAAGAAGAAAGAAACTTAAAAAATAAAAAATTTGCTTGTATTCTGTTTTTTTTTTTTTTTTTCTGGTAAAATTATATATTGTTGTTATAAAGTATATTATTAATTTATTACACAAATATTAAAAGAGTGATTTGCACTCACATCCTCTTAGGCTTTTAATAAGACATATACATACAACCTAGGGAGAATGTAATCTAATTGTCCTCCAAGCTTGCAAAATTAAATAACAACATTCTCAATCATGAATAGAGTAGGTAATTGCTTTTTGACCCATTTAAAACATAAAAGTACAATATTAACCTTTATAAGTCCTTCAATTTGACCAAAATGACCCTTAGCAAAAAAAAAAAAAAACTCCACCATTATCACCATGGTCCTCCCAATTTTTTTGCAAAACTTTATTATCACATCACAGTTTCCAAAAGGGACATTTTTTTTTTTTTTAATATAAAGAGAGTATAAAATTAAAGTTATTTATGGATATGTTTTACATAAAAATTAAAGTTGGCCCCCTCAATTTTTTTTGTAACACTCTATTTATTTATGGTATTAAATCATAGATATTAATAGTTGTTTTCTATATAAAAATTAAAGTTGATCCCTCTAATTTTTTTTAAAAAAAAATCTATTTATGGTTCACTATATTAATGATAGTTTAATAATGAAATCACTTGTAAGGCCTTCAAAATTCAATATACCTCTTGTTATAAAGGATCAAATTTAGTTGAAATATATATATTATTAATTATTATGGTAATCCTTATAACAACATACTATATTTACACACATATATAAATATTATATTATTATAATAGAAAAAAAAATTATTCATTTGACAACAACAATGACTCATTGGACAACTTTTCTCTTATATTTTCTTGCATATTATTTATAGACACCTTTTTAACAATATATATTAAACAAGCACAAAAAAAACTTCTTACAATGATTTTATATTATTTTAAAATTTTAATTTTATATTACTAGTTTGGCCACACCAATTAAAAATTCTTGGCTTCGCCCTATGCATATGGCGTTGGCAGCCACAGTGGTGGAGTTTGGTTTTTTTTTTTTTGGTTTTGCTAAGGGTCATTTTGGTCAAATAAAATGAGTTATAGAAGTTAATATTGTACTTTAATGATTTAAATAGGTTAATGCAAAAGTTAAAGGGTAATTGCGTACTCTTATTATGGTTGTAATAAGTTTGCAAACTGTGAGGCAATTGGATCACATTCACTCTAAGTTGTATTTACCTATCTTTATTGCTAACCCTAGAGGCGTGAGTGCAAATTACCCTGTTGAAAAAAAAAAAAAAAAGGGAAGTTAGACGAGTCTTCCATCTATATAGTAGTTTATTTTTTTTTTTTTTTTTGTCATTGGTAAGAAATTCACACATCCACTTTGCTTCTTTATAGAGACTCATACCCTCACCATTCACTTTGCGAGGTAGAGAAAATACTACTAACCAAAAAAACCTAATAAAAAATAAAGAAAGAAACCATTAAACAAGTTGCCTATTTTTTTTGACAAGTTGTTTTACACAATTAAAATTTTGGATAAAATAGGAATATTGAATAAGAAGGAACCAACAAAATTTTTTGTACATTTTTCTTCCTTTTTATCCAGATTTCAAAAAAATTAAAAACAAATTGTCTTTCCTTTCTTTTCTAATTGGTTAACTCCATCTAACCAAACAAAACCTAATGCAATATTCTAAAAAATTGGCCTACTGCTCCCAATTATTTGTTTTTTTGTCACCGTATTGTATATATTTAAAATTACAATTCTACATGCAAAAGGAACAATAAAATTTTGAAGTCAAAACACACTAACTATATATATATATATAATATTATCTCAACTTATACCGACTTTTTTTTTTTTTTTTGTCTTAGTGTTACACGTCAAACTTTCTTTCTTTCTTTTTTTGTCTTAGCGCTGCATATCACACTTTCTTTCTAATATATATATATATATATATAAAAGTACGTGTATCGGTCTCACGTACCATTCAAATCAAACAAGACCTTAAAAATTTATTTTTCAGATCTCAACCAGCACTGTTACGCCCTTGATAACCATATTGTATTAGTCTCCAGATCATATTGCCATATTATTTTAGTCCCCACAATCTCGTTTTATTTATCTGCCTAATAGTTGCTAGGTACTAAGTCAACCATCTCATTGTTTCATTTCATTAATTCTTGTATTACGGCATATCCTCTTAACATCAGCCTTCTAACAACATTTGATGGATGTTGATTAACTAACATATGATAATATATATAACATATGATAATATATATAGTAATTAGCAAATGTTTATGTTTTATCATATGACTACTTATTTTGAAATATCAATTGTATAAATTAAGAAAAATAAAAAAAAAAACCAATTAATTAATTGGTGAGAGATAGAAATGAGGAAATAAAGAAGTGTACTTACTATGAGGCAGCTAGAAATTTCTTTATTGGGTTAGACTTTAGATAATACTGTTTTGTGCAAAGAGTGAAACAAGAATTTGAAACGGAGACGACAAGTTGGCAAACTGTTTTGGCTGTTAATTGATGAATTAAGTTGTTCCTGTTGTTTAGGTAACTCATGTTCGTCGCACTGCAAATTTGATAGCGCATGGGATCGCAATGCTCTCTAGATCTCAGCCTTTTAACAGTCAGGTGTTCTATGGGTTGCCTTTGTCGTTGGGGTTGTTTGTGTGCCTTTCAGGTTCTGTGCTTCATGCTTGCTTTTGCTTTATTGTATTGGTTGTTTGCCATGGGAGAAAAAAAAATTGACGGACTACGTTAACCCAGTAAGGTAGAGGAGCGAGGGATTTGATTTCTAGATTTTGGTAGATATTGATTATATAGAGCTTAATTAGTGGAAATTTTGTTCATTTTTATTAACAAAAACATCAACTATTGTGATGTTTATAACAAGAGTAGTGACCTATGATATGTCAAATAAAATGATATCATGATAAAGGGTTTATAAATTGAATCCTTAAATCATTATTTTTATAATAAATATTGAAGTAATGATATTTGGGTCAAACTTTTAAAGTGAATTATCTAGCTACAAATCTTGATTAGTTAATGTATCCAAAATATAAGAAGCTCAATCAATAAACCTTTTAACGGACAGGGGGGAGATGATTTTAAAAAATAATTTTTTTTTTTGAGCTATATACTATATCTTTCAAATTAAGAAAGTAAGAATAGTGACCTATTTATTGTAGTGAATTTATACACAATATTTCAAATTAGATAAATAAGAGCAGTGACTGATATGTTCTGATTGGTTATTTATATACAATACAAATAAGTGAAACTTCCCCTCCTTTATTTGTTGCATAGGACCAATTAAAATAAGTAGGTGTGAAAATTTATTACAACAAATTGGTAAAAGACGAAGAATGAGAGCTGAGAAGCCTGAGAAAGTTCTTCCTCTTTTCTATCATTCTTAGGTAGACCTCTTCCCTTTGCTTCCGGTTAAAAATCATTTTATGTACATAATATATGTGTGAGAGTGTAGGCTCCATTACATGATGTTACTTCATTACATGTTTTGAAAAATTGTACGTACAAATAAATTATAAGATAATTCTGGATCATTACATGTTTTGGTCCAATATAATAATTCTGGACTATTGACTTTTGACATTTAATAGTTTGGTTTAATTTAGACTCTCTAATAAATAAAAAGTTAACCTACCAATTAAATTAATAAAGATATTACAAAAATGAAAAAAATGTAAACATTAATTTTGATTGATTTCAACAGAAATAGTGTAAAACTAATAAGAGTGTGGGTTGTTGATTATTGCAAGACCTAACAATGGTCTTTGTTTAAAAAAGTTTAATATATTAATGAAGAGGAGAAACCTCGTGTGCCGATTAGGATAATGCACCCCAAGTTGCTTCACCTCGAAGCATTTGGTGCGAATCTTGTCGTTGATAAGCACACGTGCTTATCCCCATAAATAATCATCAATCACTTTCCCAAAAATTTACTGCATATCATATAAGTCAATCAGCTTATCAGTGCCTTTTCCATACAAACTCTCATGGAGTACTTTCCACGGAAGACAAGGCCCACTCGCGGCCAAATGCTATAAATCGGTACTTTCTACGTGGCACCTTTTCTTCATTCCACGCACCGCACATCTTAATTTATTGAACACGTACATTAATTAACAGTCAAAACATTATTACACGCTCTTAATGGCGCGTAGGTTTAATGGTTTTCCGAGAAATGAGTATATAATTAGGTTTGAAAGCTATAAATTGATGTCTCTCACTGTTTGGGTATCCTCTCCACTCTTCCACTATTTTTAGAGAGAGAGAGAGAGAGAGAGAGAGAGAGAAAAAGTGGTAGAAAGAAAGAGAAAAGCACTCATAAAAACGACCTGCCCGTCTTCTTCGTTGTTCACGCTTTTCTGCATATATCTTGGCCTCCGATCTGTACTTTCTCTCTCTACAAGTCAGTCAAGGTATACATGTACAATATCTCTTCAATTAAATGTTCGGCAAACATATATGTTATGTGTAGCTGTATTAATATTTCCTTTTCTCTTTTTATTGATTTGATTGTTTATGAGGAATTTGATTAATCGGTTATGGAAACCCTAATTTGATTTGGTTCTGTTGTGTTTTGAAGTTGTTGATTACTCGAATTTGGTCGATCTGTGTGGTTTTGAACTCTTCGGTGGTGTCAATCAGACGAAGATGTCTTCGCTGAGCAGAGAACTTGTTTTTCTGATACTTCAGTTCTTAGATGAGGAGAAATTCAAAGAGACAGTTCACAAGTAAGGGATTTATATTTTTTGTTTTTCTGTGTAACGGAAATGGGATTTCTGTTGTTAATCGTGTGTGTTTGTGAATTGAAGCTTGGAAAAAGAATCAGGGTTTTTCTTCAATATGAGGTACTTTGAGGACTCTGTTACTAATGGCGAATGGGACGAGGTGGAAAAGTACTTATCTGGGTTTACGAAGGTGGAAGATAACAGATATTCGATGAAGATATTCTTCGAGATCCGAAAGCAGAAATACCTCGAAGCATTAGACAAGTAAGTGGCGGCATGATAACATTCTGGGACAGACTTGTTTGATGTGAGCTAACTCTTATGTATTTACATATATTTATTTAATTTTTTATGGTATTATTTACTGTGTTATTGGGTTTGTTTTCAAAGGCGCGACAATTCCAAGGCCGTGGATATTCTTGTGAAGGACTTGAAAGTCTTCTCCACTTTCAATGAAGACCTTTTCAAGGAAATAACATTCCTCCTGACCCTGGCAAATTTTAGGTATGATGAATATTTTTGGGTGAATTGTTATTGATGATGATGATGATGTGTCCTTTGTGTTATAACGAGTTTTATGATTAATGGTATGTGAACTAGTAGGATACTCAGATAGGAAATGTGCTGTATATAAGTTTTCGTTGAATGTGTGTATACATACATTGTTGGAGCATGCAGCCGGAGAGCTGGAGTTTGGGGAAATGGAGTGTGGCTCATTTAGAATTTTCTGTTGGATGGTTGGAAACATGAGATATGAACACTTTTTGTTTACATTAGGGCACCTTTAATTAATCAAATTTAGAAGAGCATAAAGCTCAATGTTTCTACTTTTTTGGGTTCTATGTGCACTAAAAACATTTTGTTTTTCATAAATAATATGATCTGTCGGGTTTCAATGCATATGTGTATGTACACAAAGGCTCTTCCATTCATGGAAAGCATAAAAAAAGGATTGTGATATGTTGAATATTTAATTTAATTTACAAAATGAAGATGTGTTGTCGATTAATTTTTACAAAATTATAGCTTATTTTTGTTGATAGTAACATATTCTGGCAACAGTTTGTATAGAATAAGATTTTTATATTATACCTTGTTCTTTTAGGTAGACAATTAGTTGGCCGATTAAGAAACATGACCGCGTATACAAGAATGGACATGAATTAGACATGCCTAATGCAACAAATCTTAAAAATATCTGGACATGGATGTGGCGAGGATGCAACAACAAATATATATTTTTATGTATAAATTGTTATATATTAGTAATATTACTTCATGGCAGAGGAAATTTGCTTCCTATGATGTACCCTGCTTTGTGCTGTTAGGGGACCTGTTGTAATTTTTTTTTCTTAACATATAGGTCAGCCCTTGTGGCGATTCTTTTATGTACAAGGATTTCTTAGTAGTGAAGGTTGCTGCACTCCCACGTGAAAATAAAAATAAAAATCAGATTCCTCTATTTCTACACATTTTCCATATGTTAGGACCACAAGTTGAATCAGAATTCTTGTAGATTAAATTTCATGTACAATAGTTGGATCTAGAAAGATTTATAGTTGAGTCCATGGTTGTTGGGTTCTAGGGATAAGTTGTAAATCCTTGGAGGAACTTGTTGATTTTTTGGACTCTTTGAGGGTTTAGAGGCCCTGTTTGGCCTTGTGTAGCTTTTGAGGGATGCGTTCCCGTTTGAACACTTTTTATACGATCTTTACTTATAAAAAAAAAACAAAAAACAAAATTGGTTGACTCTGTGGTCATGGGATACAGTGTTCTATTTATGTGACATTTAATGGAAAATTTATGATCTCAGGGAGAATGAGCAGCTTTCTAAATATGGAGATACAAAGTCAGCAAGGGCTATAATGCTTGTTGAGCTCAAAAAATTGATCGAGGCAAATCCACTCTTCCGTGATAAGCTTCAATTTCCTAGCTTGAAGAACTCGAGGCTACGGACGTTAATTAATCAGAGGTTATTGGAACGATATATTAATCCAGTTGCTTAGCTTATGTTTTTTATTTAATTATAATGATGAGTTCTCTTATTGACATCTAAGACGGTTTTGTTATATTGTTCTTTGGGTTGCAGCTTGAATTGGCAGCACCAGCTTTGCAAGAATCCAAAGCCTAATCCTGACATAAAAACCCTCTTTGTGGACCATACTTGTGGGCAACCAAATGGTGCTCGGGCTCCATCCCCCGTCACTAATCATTTAATGGGCTCCGTGCCTAAAGTAGCTGGTTTCCCGCCGCTTAATGCTCATGGTGTAAGTGAACATGAAAAAGAGATGCATTATGTTTGTCATAGTAGGAATCAGGGTTTGGTTATTCTTTTTCATTTTATTTTACTTCTATATTTTGATAGCCGTTTCAGCCCTCACCAGCACCTCTTACGGCATCTCTCGGAGGATGGATGGCTAACTCAGCTCTGCCACACCAGCCTGTTACTGCTGGCCCTATAAGCTTAACTGTTCCCAATAATACAGGTATCGTAAGTACTAAAATGAGTCTCATTGATTTATTGATTTCTTGTTTTTGGACATAATGATTTGGACGAGTATAGAATCAAATGCAAAATGCCTTTGAGATGGACTGGTCATACATAAAAGAATTGAAGGCCATGAAAAGAAATATTGGGTATGCATATGATGAATTGCTTATTGTCTGCTATTGTGCTATTAAATAAAAATTAATAATTCAAACGACACTGTTCACTTTATAAATGATTTGTAAATTGAGTTTTGTAAGGGCTTACAAATATTTTATTCCCTCTGATTCTATAGATTGATATAATATTTTTTGATAAAGAAGAAAAAAGGTAGTATTCATACTCTTTGCAAGAATAATTATTAGTATATAAGTATTTCCATAGCAATGAAATAATTAGTAAATAATACTTTGAGCTATAAAAAATTTAGAGCCTTGCAATTCATACACTAAAAAAAGGCCTAGACAAAGAACATTTTAAGAAAGGGTGCATAAAGCAAGGTGAATGGTGTCAATATTGAAGTAGGATATGTACACAATGGTTATGAGAAATTTTTTTATTTTTTATTTTTCACTGGGTTCTCCATAACTTCTATTGTAGATAATAAAGTTTGTAATCTTGTTTAAGGACATAACTAAAATATAGGATAAAGTAAACTGATCTCTCTTGAGGTATTCGGGAATTACAGGGACCCCCAATGAGGATTTTGATATTGCACTATACATGGAGCTCATCTCATCGGTGCTTGCAAGCCTAAGCCTTCACATCTATTGGTCGTCCCTTCTCCTCTTTCAAACCTGTAGGTTGATGGGTGTCAATAACAATATGAATTTTTTTTTCACCCCTTAATTATCTTACATTTTTCTCTAATAAGACATTTATTTGATGTAGTAGATTCGCACCAGAATGGGTGGACTCTCTCTCTTTCTCTCTCCCCCATTTTTTTTTTTTTTGCTAAAACACTCTACGTTTTCATCAAATTCTGGTCTTTGGAATACTTATCAAAAAAAAAATAATTCTGATCTTTGGAAAATCCCTCGCCACCCAATTTCCAAAGCCACCTTCAACCACAATTCTTTGCCATTATTGAAGACAACAAGATTTCATCTCTGCTAACATCGCCAACCACCTTCTCATCACCCACCATCACTATCACTACTATCCAAAATCACATCACCACCAATGATATCTGCCACTCAAAGCCACCATGCCACCCTCTGTTGAACCCACCACCACTTGCAGTGCATGACTGCCATGCTGGATCACTACCATCAATAGAACCCTCCAGCCCACCAGCACTGTTAAAACATCACCATCATCAAACCTTGTAGATGACCTCCATCATCTTTATCTCTGCCTAACCACTCCCACTCACACCAAGTAACCACAGCTCATGCACCAATTCATCACCCAATATATCTCTACTTTTCCTCTTTATCATCTCTTCACTTTTCATCTCTATTCATGGTCATTTCCAAACTCCAATTTTAGATCTATTCAGTATGGCATTCTGTTTCTTTGCCTTCTTCCTCTCTCTCTCTCTCTATTCCTCTATTTTTGCCCTTCCTCTCTACTTTTTTCTTACTGCTCCGCTCGCTTTATTTCTCTCTCTAACCTGTCATTAAGATAAACCTAATCACAGCTCCAGCTACCCACAGATTTTGTCAAATTCAAACTCAAACCACCTTTCTTTTTCTATTGCCTCCACCACCTTTCTCAAAAACCTTCTTCAATACCTGAGTAAATCCTTTCTCATCAAAACCTTATCCTAATTGACAATGCAGCCTATCAATTCGGTTAATTCTCCTTACTCAGACCAGTTTAAGGAATGGGTGTGGATTTGGTCGATGGTGGCAAAGGGACAATGGTGGTGGTGGTGGTAGGCTGATAAAATGCTTGGCAATGTTAGCTGTGCAATTGGTTCACCAAGTCAACTCAGTTGAGTTAAATCAATCTTGTGTGGGACTTAATTTGGGGAGAAACGAATTAAGAGTTGAATCCTGGCCCACTGAGTTAATTGGTTTCGCATTATCCCTTAAAAGAGAAGAGTTGACTTTATTCCATTAAGGGCATTCTTGACCTTTTCTCTGAATTTTGACACTATCTCCTTTGAATTTATAAATGAAGAACTTTCAGTTCATGCAGATCAATGGCATTGGTTGCCCAGAAATGCAAATTAAAGAACAATCAGGATAACGATGCTACGTGTAGATTAATAGAAACTTATGGAATTTTGTTTATTGTTAATGAACTACTTGAAGCCTCTACTTATGAGCTAAAGAAATATATTAATAAATGTTTCAAACTGTGAAATTAGAGGCAGATGAATACAATATAAGTAGCATGCAACTTAGTTTTGTTTTTCGGTTTTTGTGTTATATATATTTTTTCCCACTGGCAATACTTTTTTTTTTTTTGTGTGTGTGTGTGATCGACCATGCTGGATAGTTGAAGTTTTTTTTACTCGACATCCTAAAATAAGTATCTTTTCTTTTTTATGGTGTCCTAAAATATGAGTCCCTCTTGAGAAGTCGATGTAAAAATTGGAACTTTTCTGAAATATCATTCAGTTTTCAAAACATTTCCAAATTGTCAATTAAATCTTTAAAATTTGGAGGTTTGCTATTGGAAATTCAATGAGAGACATGCTTTCAATGCCGGTCTTCTTAAAAGGTTGGAACCCTTGAAAGGGAGACTTATTTGGGACGGAGGGAGTAATAAACATCTGCTACAGTTATTTTATTTTTACAAAAATTTATAAATACTTAAGTAATGATTTAGTGAATAAATTGTTGATTTTAAAATTCCTGCATAAGTTATGATGTCTGCTTAATGAGAAATCACATTGTGTCGTCTACATCATGAGAAACAGAACTGTGCAATGTATGGAAAAGCTTTGAATATTGGTAAAACAAAATTACAGTGGGTTCACTGATGCAGCAGAAAAGATAGAGATAGAGAAGATAGAGAGATAGGAGAGGAAACACTGTTTTCAAAATAATCTCAATACAAAAACTCTCTGATAACACAAGCCTATATATATAAGCAACCCAAAGAAACCCTAAAGACATCTTGCAAAAATAAATAGGAAAATTCCCCAGGAATACAATACATGAAATAAGTCAAAATACATCCTCTGTGCATGTGCCTAAAGTAAGTCCATAAAACTTTGGTTAGTGGGCTCAATATGATCGGCATAATGTGGCTTTAATCTGTGTTGCAGTTACCCTACTTACCTGCATTATGGTCGTTTTTCTTTTGTATAATGAGCTTTATCCCCACAGATTCCACATTATACAACCAATATATTTTTTTTTTTCATTTATGATTAGTTTAGGATTATATTTCTTGTTCTAGCATTCTTCCGTCTTAGTCTCACTATTCCTTTTGTATCTATATGTTGTGATAGCATCTATGCTAAAGCGTCCTTGGACTCCTCCTACTAACAATCCGGCAATGGACTATCAAACTGCAGATTCTGATCTTGTGCTGAAGAGATCAAAACCTTTTGGAATATCGGAGGAGGTACTGTACAGTGTATACTGATTCAACATGTTTCTTTTTATTCATTGACGATTTAACTTCTGGAATGTGTTAGATCTTGATGGGAGTTGGAGTTGTTTTGAAATTTTTTTATTGCTGAAGTCCAATCAGTTTTTTAACTTTTTTTTCCATATGTTAAAATCCATGCACACCATTGCTTGAATGTTTCTTGTACTTAATTGAAAAAGAAAAGCTGAATAATTAAACGATGGAGTGTTGCTGGTGGGGAACTTTTTAAATACTTTTTGATGTCTTCACTCCTTAGGTTTCGGATTTATTCTTCTTTTTATATTTTGATCTACAGTTAATCAATACTGAATTGTACATCAATTTTTGTAGGTCAACAATTTTCCTGTAAACATTTTGCCTATCGCATATCCCGGCCAGAGCCACGCCCACTTCTTATTTTCTTCTGATGATTTACCCAAGACTCTAGTTTCAAATTTGAATCAGGGTTCTGCTGTCAAGAGCATGGATTTCCATCCAGGACATCAAACTCTGCTTCTTGGTTAGCTCTTGCTGCTTTGGAAATCTATTTGCCCCATCCACTTATGCTATGTGTTCTTTGTTCCAGCAAGTCTAGCTTATAAGAAAATCGTTTTATGTTGGAATTTGGTCATTGTATTTTGTTGTATTTATTTCTTCATTTTAGTTGGGACGAATATTGGTGATATCGCATTGTGGGAGGTTAGTGGCAGGGAGAAGGTTGCTTCTAAAAATTTCAAGGTCTGGGACCTTAGATCATGTTCAATGACTCTGCAGGTATTTGTTATTTTCCATAAATATTTTTTTACTTTGGTTTTTTCTTGCATGTTTCTTGTAATCACTAGACACATGTTATTATATGCCTTGTTTATTCATTAGTTTATCTATTTGAAATAGACATCTTTGGCCAATGAGTATACTGCATCGGTGAACAGAGTGATATGGAGTCCTGATGGCACCCTTTTTGGTATGTTTAAGGGGATTTATCTATTTATTTGTATATATTTGCTCATGCTCATTTTCTAGATGTTTGGCATATATAAATTACTTCCAAGATCAAAGTACTTCTGACATTAAATGAGGTTTCATTTCGGCAATTGATTTACATGTTCTAGAATAAAGCACACTAATTGTGTCTCCTCAGTGGGAAGATAAGAAAAAGCTGTAAATTCTTAGAAGGATAATTGGCTTATGGTTATCAGTTATGATTTTTACGATATTCAGGTGTTGCGTACTCCAAGCACATTGTGCAGATATATTACTATCATGGTGGTGAGGAAATACGGAACCACCTAGAGGTCTGTGTTTTGTGGTGAAATTCTGGGAATCATTTTAACTTTTAATATCTGGCTAATTTTTATGCTGTATATATCACTTCTCTATCAGTGCAGAAAAAATGATGGTTGGATCTTTTCCATGAATTCTTTCAGATTGATGCTCATGTTGGCAACGTTAGTGATCTTGCTTTCTCTCATCCAAACCAACAGTTATGCTTCATAACTTGTGGAGAGGACAAGACAATTAAGGTTTGCTTTGTTTGGCATTTCTCTTTGATGGTATGGTGAGGTTATGTACTGCAGTCGTAATTCTTGTGCTTGTGCAGGTGTGGGATGTTGCCACAGGTTCTAAGCAGTTCACTTTTGAGGGTCATGAGGCTCCTGTCTATTCTGTATGCCCACATTATAAGGAAAACATTCAGGTACGTGTTTGTTCAGGGCCTGCCTTTTGACTCACCCTTTTAGGGTTAAGGAAAATGATCCAAGGCTGACCGAAGTAGTACTGTGCCAAAGTTTATAGCGGATATATAATGCAGTAAGACTGATTTGGATAGGCCCTCGTGCATCATATAAAATAAGTTTACCAAAAGAAGTTGAAGTTAGAAATCGTTATTCATTTCTTTATTAACAATTCACTTTTGTCACATTTTCTTTCTTTCCAATCTTAGCTTCTCTACATTTTTATATCAATGAGTTATCTTATTTTATCACTGGTAAGCTATATGGTTTCTCTGAAAAAATAATTGTTTGCAAATATGTTCTGGAACTAGAAACTCTGTTACTAGTTTTTACTGTTCCACATGCTATTCTTATTTGTTCTAGAATCTCATTGATAATTTGTTAGTAAATAATGAGAAATGTGACACATGATTGTCACCTCGAGGTCGTTGTTATTGGTTATCCTTGGGGATTGCTTTTCCACATTCTGCTTTGCAAATGTTTTCTTACAAGTTACAATTAAAGGTTTTGTTTTCTCCATCAGTTCATCTTTTCAACATCTATTGATGGGAAGATCAAGGCATGGTTATATGATAATCTGGGTTCAAGAGTTGACTATGATGCACCTGGTCATTCTTGCACAACAATGGCTTATGGTGCTGATGGGACAAGGTATAATATGGAATCTACTGTTTCTTTTGGCATTGTAGTTCCTTCTTATGTTCTTAGCATATTTCTCTCGTTATGTGTGGACCATGTAGACTGTTCTCATGTGGGACCAGTAAAGACGGAGGAGAATCACATCTTGTGGAGTGGAATGAAAGTGAAGGAGCTGTCAAGCGAACATACCATGGTCTTGGGAAGCGGTCTCATGGAGTTGTACAGTTTGATACAAGAAGCCGGTTCTTGGCTGTCGGTGATGAGTTTGTAATCAAATTCTGGGACATGGATAGTGTTAACCCCCTGATGACTACTGATGCAGAGGGTGGATTGCCGGTAAGAAAGAAATTGGGTTTCTTCTGGATCTCTTGCCATCTTTTTGTAAAAACTTTTTCATATGAAGTAACAATCTTGTCTTGAATATCTTTCAGGCTTCTCCTTGCATTCGGTTCAATAAGGAAGGAATTCTACTGGCTGTCTCAACAAGTGAGAATGGTGTTAAAATACTTGCGAATGCCAATGGTGTTCGGCTTATGCGATCCATCGAAAATCGTGCACTTGATGCATCCAGATTTTCTGCTGGAACTGTTGCTAAGGTAAAACTTGTTTATTGGTTCTGCTTATAGTTCTAACAGGAACATTCTTGTTTTACGTGCATTGTTTGTTATGCAGGGCGCCATAAGTGGCACATTTGGTACTTCCAGTTCAGCTGCTGGAACAAGCATTGGTATTGCAGACAGAAGTGCACAGGTTACAGCTATGGTTGCGCTGGTAAGCATGGATGACCCAGTCATGTGGATGTGTGGGGTATTTCTTTGAAGAAAACTGCATTTTTTTTGTCCATTTAATTGTTGCGTGTGTGTATTAATTATGGATGTTGAAATTATTCCATGCACTCCTATGGACAAAAATTCACTATAACACAGTGTTCGATAATTAGTTTTCTGAATTTTCTGCAGAATGGGGATAACGGTAGAAGTCTGTCAGATGTGAAACCTAGAATTACGGATGAGATAGAAAAATCTAAGATCTGGAAACTGACAGAAATCAATGACCCATCTCAACTTCGTTTCCTGAGGCTTCCTGACAGCTTATTGTCAGTAAGGGTATGTGTCTGTTATGTTTTTTGCCCTAATTAAGTTCATATTTTTTTCTTGTTAATTTTTTTATCCTTATTGGAACCCAGTGTTGAGATTGGTTTTTGACTACCTTGCTTTTTATTTTTTGATGATTGGGCCAGTAACTATGTTCCTTTATTGACACAGAAAAGACACTAGCTTTACATTTTTTATGCGATTGTCTTGGCTGATGACTCGTGTATACAGAAAGGTTATTGTAAATTCATATTTTAAAGCAGTATTTGATACATGGATAATTTTCTAGTGGCAAGTTGAAGTCCTTTGCTGAGATCACCTATAGACGTAAAGAACTTTGTTATCTTTTATGAAGCATTTGTGTGTGTGAGAGAGAGACCCGCAACCAAAGCCCTAAAATGCTGAGATAAAGCATTTGGAGTTAAGGTGAAGGCCCATTTTGGTCCTCGAGAGTTTTACAGCCAGGCTGGAACATAAACTAGTGTATTCATGATTTCAGCTGACCAGTGTTAGTTTTAGAAGCAACATCAATAAGCTTGGCAACCATCCATGAACTTGTACGAATGTTGTACTTCCACAATGTATGCAGCTGTCTTGTTGCAGCCAAAAGTAAATTTCTTCATGATAGTTGTCAAATTATTTGTTTCTATCTTGATGCTACAGAAATTCAATTCCCTACTCCTGAGCACAGTATGTATTCCCAGCAACCTTGATATGGGTAAAATGCTGCTGAAGTCAAGTTGTAATTTAACTGTGCTAATATGGATATGTTATGTCCTTGTTCTTTATTGCTACAAAATTGATGTGGTTTCCAATTGTCAGTTTGAAAGAATACTTCCAATGTTTGGTATTTGTTCTGGATGGTTTTGTGTTCATCTGTACTTCAAAGGACATGAGAATATACATATGATACAAAAGAACTTCACAGAGAAATGATATATATCTTATATGTATTTCATCATGACAGTTGATGGAAAAAATCAATTTCAAGATATAATGTTACTGTTTATTTAGTATTTGCTGATATTCTAAGGTTGGAAGAAGCATTTTAGGACTCTCTCACTTAATATCTCTGTATTCAATTTACAAGCCTTGTCCCAACTATCTGAGGAAAGTTTTTTGAGTACTGTTTGCCGTTTTACTTTGTCTTGGGAAATTCCTTCGTTAAATCACATGCTTTGATGTCTTTTCTTACTACTCAACCTATATACAAATTTTGGTCTTTCCTTTTTAGCATTCCTGATGTCAATTGTCATTCTTCTTTCCATGTGAAGAAAAAAGTGAAAATAGTTTCATTTGTGTGTCACAGAATCTAATGCCATTTTGTGAAAGTTGTCTTATTTTAGATGGAGATTAGCTCCCTTTGACAATTTCAAGGCACATGGAGAATATGTCCTTTATGGTGAAAATTTAAGACAGTAGTATGTATTTAAAATGTTTGGACAGCATGGTTATTAACTAGATTTAAAATATGTAGTTTATTTATTAATATAATTATTTGATAGATTTGGAAAATAGAAGTGGTGGAAACTAGGGTCACCTGTTATTTAGTATATTTTCCAAGTAATAGTTTTCTGCCCCATATTTTTCTTCTTCCTTTTGTTTATGTGGTATGAAGTGTATTTCCTGGTACACAATTTGGATCAAAATATTCAGTCGATGGTGTTTGAGATTTTTTTTAATAACCAAAAATGGGTTGTTGTGGTTACAAAAGAGTAAAGTTTTTCACATTGCAATTCATTACCTACGTACTCATACAACGAAGACCTATAGATGCGCCGGTAATAAGAGGATGATTAGTTTTCATAGAAGGTAACAAACAGAGCGTTCAAAATTAACGTGGGATGAAGTTATCAAAGATGACTTTAATAAGTTAAATATAATAGGAGAGATGGCGTGTAATAGAAAAGAATGGGGAAAAGAGAATTCATGTGGCCAACCCCATTCATATGGGACTAACACAAGGATGATAATGATGAATTTATTATCTACATGTGTCGTGTGTGTAGTGGATGTGAATGTGAAGTAACTTCCTGTTAAGAATTTTATGAAACAAATTATGAGTATTTACTATTATATACACTATCTTACTATATAAAGGGGGTTCTCTTTTGTAATAAATCTTCCTTGTATGTTGATTGCTGACCATTTTTGTTATCCATTCAGATTATTAGGTTGATTTATACAAATTCAGGAGGTGCCATATTGGCATTAGCATATAATGCTGTACACAAACTTTGGAAATGGCAGAGAAATGAGCGAAACTCGACAGGAAAGGTATTGATATTCTGCTTTTAAGGTCTAATTTTCTTTTTTCCCTTATTTTCAAGTAGCTTCCCCTTACAAAGACTTTGGCTCTTGTAGGCTGCAACAAGTGTGCCCCCACAATTATGGCAACCTTCTAGTGGAATATTAATGACGAATGATATAAGTGAGACAAACCTTGAAGATGCTGTTCCCTGCTTTGCACTTTCGAAGAATGATTCTTATGTAATGTCAGCATCAGGAGGAAAAATTTCATTATTCAATATGATGACATTCAAGGTATCAAACATGATTCTGCCTTCTTTTGGTCAAGTCTGCTTGGTATATTAGTTTTTCTGCTTGTTAGTGGGTGTTATATATAAACACACTTCTTTCAATATATATATATAAATTTTTATGTTCCTCTTTTGCAGACAATGACCACATTCATGCCCCCACCACCTGCAGCTACATTCCTCGCATTCCATCCACAGGACAATAACGTTATTGCTATTGGCATGGAGGACTCCACAATACAAATCTACAATGTTCGGGTTGATGAGGTCTAAAGCTTGACCTGTGACCTAGGTAGTGTGGGTCAGATATATTTATAAGTTTTGTTATGATTGAAATTTTGGATTTCATTTGTGCAGGTCAAAAGCAAGATCAAAGGTCATCAGAAGAGAGTAACTGGTCTTGCCTTCTCTAATGTTTTAAATGTTCTCCTATCATCAGGAGCTGATGCTCAGGTATGTCGTGCATGACTATGAGAAAGAAATAAATTAGTTTGTGTGTGTGTGTGTGTGTGTGTGCACAACGTAAATCTTTGGGCATGTGTAAACATGTCATTTCTTAAGAGTATGGCGTGCAATTTAGATAGATTGAGAAGTCAAATAGTGCATGTCTCAAGTTTTTGCCAATAATAGTCCGACTCATGTTACTCAAGTGCATTAATTCTATTTTCCCTTGTCTATGCTGTGGGTGATCCGGAGATTACCCAGAATTTCACCAGATTCAAAAAGTACCTCATTTAGCAAGAGTACTTAATGTGTGATGATCTTTTTAAAAGCAGGAGCCTTTTAGGAAAGTATGCCAGATAAAAATTCTTTGGTTAAATGTTTCCCTTTTATGTAAGTAGATTGTGTTTATGAGCATTTGTTTTCCAGCTGTGTGTTTGGAGCACAGATGGATGGGAGAAGCAGGCTAGTAAATTCTTGCAGATTCCATCTGGGCGAGCTTCAGCTTCTCTTGCGCCAACCCGTGTTCAGTTTCATCAGGATCAGATTCATGCGCTTGTTGTCCATGAAACTCAGCTAGCTATATATGAGGCACCAAAACTAGATTGCACTAAGCAGGTTGGTGAGGCATTTATTCTATTAAAATATTTTGAGAGTTTTATTTATTTATCATGTCAAAAATGTTCATGGATGGTCCAAATGATTGTTAATTACAATCATCTTGATAATCACATAATTTATATTGATTATCTTCTTGTGCCTGAATCACTGCCTTACTGGTGAGAGGAAAATTAGTTGTATTTGTGAGGGAAGTGATGCATGTTCAAAGAATAGACTTTGGTTATTTTTATTTATCATTGATGAACTTGTTATGAAAATGTGGTTTGTGGCAGTGGGTGCCCCGAGATTCAAACAGTTCAATTACGGATGCTACGTATTCATGCGATAGTCAGTCAATCTATGCAAGCTTTGAAGACGGAAGCGTGTGTGTCCTCACTGCCTCAACACTCGGATTGAGGTGTCGAATTAATCCGAGTTCCTACTTACCTTCTAATCCCAGGTGTGTCTTATTGTTACTTTTAAGCTATTAAAATTTTACAACATACATATTCCCTTTTTAATTGCATGATGATACTGTTTGACAGCTCAAGGGTGTATCCACTTGTCATTGCGGCTCATCCATCAGAACCTAGGCAGTTTGCCTTAGGACTTACTGATGGTGGAGTTTATGTTCTTGAACCCCTAGAACCAGAGGGAAAATGGGGTACCACTCCACCACTTGAAAATGGTGCAGGGATTAGCATTTCCCCTGTCGGAGCAGGTTCAGATCAACCATCAAGATAACTGTAGTTGTGCATACCTTCAGCTAATGGTTGCATGTAAATGTCTCACATATGTTCCCCATTTTATTTTCCGGGGAGCTGCAAAATCTAGGTATTTTAGCTTGTAGGGTACACAGTTGTGGTGGGAGGCAGAGAGCTGAGAAGATCTTTTTTAATTTGTGGATAAGTTTTGGGACTTCCCGTCGTAGATATAATGATGAGAGAAATTGTACAAGTTGTTGATATAAATGAAGAGGAGGCGGGGGAAGAGAGCAGGAATTAAGGCTGATTTCAAGAATTTTGCTTCTCAAACATATGTTGGTGGACTGAACAATAAATTAGTTAGTTAGGGTTTCTGCAAGTCCTCTCGTGTTCTTGAACATAACCAAATATTACTTTTTTTTTTCTTTCCATCATTAGAATTTAAATAGAGTGGTTATTTCTCTTTCATTTTTGTTTTTTAATTAGAATTGCCTCTCTCTCTCTCTCGCTCTCTCTTAAAACTTTTTGTTTGTCTTGGTATCTGTTACTTTGCATGGTTTGAATTTATGTATGTTGTTAACCTTACAGCTGCATTCATAGAACACAAATTCTACACATAACAAGTTGGCTCGTGGGGTTTGAGAATGTTGGTCCTTAACAATTTGTTTACCCATTTAATAATCTAAGAGAGAGTGTTACTCAGTTTTGACCTACTCTTAATTTGGGTGACATCTCAGAATTATTGGCGCTCTAGTCAGAATGATTAATGGACACTGTTTATGACATTTTCAATGTATTTGTATAATTTAAATCTTGTTTCAAATTGTTTATGAATCTGCCGGATGGTAGTCCCTATCTTTGTTGCTCATTGTTAACATGGATGGAGAATTTGTAGTGGTAGTCAGTTTATTAGATGTTGTAACATGTTATGCCTGATGCAAAGTTTTATGAGCGTTTTCTAATGTTGATAAATATATATATTCGCATTCGTTGTCCACATTGCATTGCCTTGCCTGTGATGTTCATATGGCATGGTATTGATTTGATGGGTTCTTTTGAGTAGGCAATATTTTAATTTGAAAGATGGAATGGGAATGGGTACTATTTTTTTTGTTTCATTTTGGTTGATTTTTTACCTGTGTTTAGGGCGGTTATTGATTTGTTCAGTAATATCCATGTTTGAGCCACTTCCCTATTTTGGTTGAATATTTTGGTGTGGACGGAATGTTCTAGCAACTGGGTGTTGTTCCTAGGCGGAGAGTGGGTTGGAGCTTAGGACAATTGGTGAACTCTGTTGTCTCTCAGTTTCTATTGCTTCAGTCTCTCCTTTTGCTAGTGATGGGATTTTGATTTTGTTGAGGAGGGTAAGGCAGGGGCTTCATAATTAATGCTTGAAGCTCGCATGAGAGTGACACCAGTGGCTTTGTCATAATTGCTTCATATTAGTTTAGTTGTATTATGCAGTACCACCCCAAATGATCTACTTTGTAGCAAGATTACAAGTAATTAATGTTTATTTTCCAATACTTACTGCGATGTTACTATTACTTGGCACTACAGATTTTTATTTTTATTATTTATTTTTTTACTTTTTTCTAAGTCATCCATTTTTCCTTTGGAACCTTCATTTCTCATAGGATAATGATTCTTGAACCTAATAGTCGAACTTAGAAGTCTAGTTTGATAGATTTTTTTCAAGAAACTTTTATTTAGACAGTTCTTTAGATTATTAGAAGTGGCTTTTAGGTTTGTATAGCATTGTCCTTTTTCATGCTAAGACTCATACAAGAAATGCCATTAGGTTACGGTGCTCGGTGGTTTTGAGGCACTGCAAATACCTTAGAAGCCAGTTTTAGTATAGAAGTAATTAAACAATGTGGGGGGGTTATCTCGAGCAATGGGTCGTCTACACTAGTGGAGTATTATTTAGATAAGAACCGTGCCCTAACATAATTTAATTTTATCCAGTTGCGCACGAACCGCATTAATTACAAAATAAGTCTTAGTAAGTAATTTTAGTAGGTTTAGAGAGAGAGACAGAGAGTGTGTGTGTGTGTGTGTGTGTGTGTGTGTGTGTGTGTGAGGAATAGAAGGAGAAAAGTAAACCCCAACATTTGGAATATCAAAGCTTAAAGAGAAATGGGTATATAAAAAAAGTAGAGTAATAATAATAATAATAGTAGTACAAAAAGGTTTGTTTTGAATTCTTAGGTAATGTCTAGAGCAAGTAAGCACGGGAGCACAAAAGCATCATTCTCTGTGTGTCACTCTCTTAATTAATTAATTATTATTATTCCTTAATTTTAGTTACATGGATATCATCGCCTTCAAAACTGCTCTCTCTCTCTATATATGATGCTTAAACAAACAACCTTTTTAACTTCATCTCCCATCAATATTCTGCTTACGTCAATCCTAAGCATGCTCTTTCTTTCATTTTTATTTTCTTTGAGATATATATATAGTTCTTTTCAAACCAACCCCTGAATTAAAATGATAAAATTACTTGCTAGTATTTACTACAATTTGTGTTTGATTAATTAAGATATTGGGGAGAAACAACACAAAATTAATACTGTATTTGATTAGAAATTCATTTGTTATGGTATTTAGGAATATAATGAATAATTACAACTTTATTATCATGAATATCATTTTAGCTTCTATTTTGATTGAAAAACAAACATAAACTAAGTTTATATGTACACACACACAGAAAGAGAAAGGAATATATATATATATATATATATATATATATATATATAAATAATCTGCTTACGTCAATCCAAAGCATGCTTTTCAAGTGAGTAATTCGAGGTTTTTTGTAAATAAAATGAACATGCTTCCCAAGCTAATATAAAATATATCTTACCCATCATTTAGTAGGTTTTGTGCATACTTCGTAAGGTTTAATATATTTAATAAGACTATACTGTGGACATATATAGTTGTATGTCTTGTATATAATACTTATATGTTTATAATCGATTTCTATATTTTTTCTTATCAACTTCGTCAAAAGATTGTAACCTTTGCTGTTCCAATCATTTATATATCTTAAATCAAGGTAATTGTGACATAAACCTATATTTGTCACCATGATAGTTAAGGGGAGGTGGTGTCTCACAATAACGAAAATTAAAGTTCTGATTCATCAAAAGATAAGAGTTAAAGGAACAAATTTAGATGGTCCTACATCATATTATTTTAAATATTTTTAACTTTTCAATTAATATAGATAAATTCATAAGACATTAATGAGATGTTATAAAGAATTTTACGGTGTATTAAACATGAGTTTTGGTTGGCTTGAATTATCAACTGGTCTATGATCCAATTTTATTTAATAATTTTTTGAATTAAGTCAAATTTAGGGGGAAAAAAAAAAGGAGAAAAGATGGAAGGGAAAGGCATCTTCCTTCGTCCCACCACATTCTTTCCTCCAAGAACGAAGCAAACTGAAGAAGGAAAGGACTTTCCCTCCTTTTAACCAATAAATAAATAAATAAATAAAAATAAATAAAAAAATAAAAAAATAAAAATAAAAATCAATCCTCCTAATGCTCTTGCATGCCCTACCCTCGAAAACCCCTGCTGGGTGTACCTACTACCTATTAGTAGAATCATCCAATACTACTACTATTTTTTGTTTATATTTTTCACCTTGATTATACAAATAAAATGAATAAAAATCATTTCCTTCCCTTAGCAATACTACTTTTATCTCGCTTACATTTTATTTATTTTTTGTTCGCACAAAGAACTCTCGATCACATACCTCTAATTACTATACTAAAAGATTCACAATATTTTTAGACGACTCAAACTTTCCATTTTTACATTTTAAAAGAAATTGAGATACCACTTGATTACATACCTCTAATTACTTGTTTTCATTATGTGTATACAAGGTAGAAAATCACATGTGAAATAAAGCTTAACTTTTAACCAAAAAAAAAAATCCCATATGAAATATGAAAGGAATAATGATATATATATTTTTTTTGAAAATTAAAGTAACTAACATTTATGGGATGAGGTTCGAATATATGGGATGAGGATTCGAACCTGGCCATATTTGACCACAAACACCAACACTATCACACCACACCCGGGCATATGAAATTTTCCTATGAAGTGTTTAAAACACTGATTGGATTACGGAAGTGATATACTATATATTACATAAAATAAGCCAAACCATATACATGATTTCATTATCATATGCTGCTACAACAAACAATGCAATTAATCTTTCCCCCAACTAACCAAAAAGAGTAGTTAAAATATATATATATATATATATATATATATATATATATATATATTATGGCTGTGAATTTGCAAGAACAAAGAGAGAGCACTCAGAATTTTTTATTTTATACAATGAACTGGAGGTCCATATATCTTTTAAATTTGAATTTAAACTCAACTCATTTAATCACAAAATTCACAATTTTATTAGATACAAAGCCTATATTCATCAATTTTGAAAAGAAAAAAAATACCTATATTATTTATACTTGTACAAGTCCAATTATATGAAGTATCAACTAAAATAATATATATTAAGTTCAAGAGAAAATAATTATTTTTAAAAAAAAACATATAATATGAAATTGTTAAAATGAAAGATCATTATATCATTTTGCAAAACATAAAAATGTCGATATTATTATAAAAATCTTACAAATTAATAAGCCAAGTGTGATTGAATCATAAATGAAAAGAAAATTTCAACCTCAAAAACTTTAGAAAAGTTTGATGCATGCCCAATGCCCATTCCATTTGCACCTTTTTAGAAAAAGTCTAAGCATCTCCTCCTGTGTTCAGTGCCACCAATTAACTTTAACTTGATCGACCACCCAGTTCGCCACGTGTCCCACCTCGTTCCCACCTGGTGCCTTGCTAACCGGGCGCTCAATAACCCTCCCCAAACTCCAAGGCAAGCAAGCATGGTCAGCTGCAAACAGACAAAACCATTCTGTCAAGAGAGATATATGTTTGTGTGTGTATAGAGTGTATATATATATATATATATATATATATATAGAAAGAGAGAGAGAGAGTGTGACAGATGGCTCAGAGGAAAAGTGAAAGAAAAGTGAGAGTGAGAGTGTATGTTTGGCAAGGAGTGGAAAAGAAATGAAAGTTCATGAAAAAAGAGTGAAAAAAAAGTTTAGGCTTTGTTTTTTGTTTTTCTTTGTATGAACCATGAACATATGGTATGTAGTGAGCTGACAAAATTACCGGCTGCAGGCAGTTGTCGGGTGTGAGTGCGGGTATAGAGCCGCACCTGCAGAGAAAAGCAGACAGCACGCGAGGTGACCGAGTACGGGCATAGCAGGTCACCAACCCATTCGCTCTCTCTCTATGTGTTGGTCCCTTTGACACCCCACATTCACCTCGATCCTCTCTACTTGCCATGCCCTACCCATAACATTTTCACAATCCCCATCCATAATGTAAGATCGTGATACTCACACTCTATTTAGCACCAAAATTTTGCATGTACCATTGATGCAACTTCAAATTCAAATTTATATGGTTGAAATTTGTATTGGTATGAATTTGAGGTTGAATTGTATACAATATACATAACTAATTATAGTTAGAGTTGTAAGTGAATTGATACATTCGTAATTAACTTGAATTGGCTTAATAAGAGTTTGGTTTATAGTTTTTCTTACGTAAATGAGTCAAATTTTAGTTATCGGAAAAAAAAAAAAATTTAGTCAAATTTGAACAAATTTTTTTGAACTTAAAATAAACAAGTCAAGTCTGTACAATCTATATATGATTAACTTGTTCAGAAATTGAACAAGTATTTGTGGACATGTTAGCTAGATAATCACAAATGTTTGGATCTTCAAATGATATCTTTCTTATCAATCTTAATATTAAGCTCAAATTGAAGTTTGAATTTGAGATTTGATTATTTGAGTTAAAATGAATTGAGCAGGAGCTTGAAGAGTGGTGTTGATGCAAAGCTTGGAAACTTAGGGTCTGTTTGTTTTGCATTTTGTTTTTGATGTTTTTATTTTTGTTGGGTACTGTAACAGTGAACAATGAAAAAACGTGTTTAGTAAAAATTATTTTGTTTTGAATAATGTTGAAACGTTGCATGAATAGTGGCCAAAAATCGAAACACTAATTTGATAATTTTACATATTTTCGTAGTGTAGCAACGGTTGCTGCATCAATACCATTATTTATTTATATATATATATGTATTTATTTTTTTGAAAAACTAAAAATGACCTTTTTAAACTAATCATTATATTTTTTTTAACTTGTAACAATTCTTGAACAAACATTTTTTATATTTTTACTTTCGAAATTTTTGCAATAAATAGATATTACCAAATATGCTTTGAAATACTATTCAAAACGTACACCATACAACAAAATACTGATTAAAACATGAACCTACAAACAAAACAAGTATCAAACATACCCTTAATTTTACATCACTCAGGTCTAGTATTAGTCTATTATTGAGTTGTTGGTGCGTGTACTTAACGCGCAACAATGGTTCGTGGCTTTGAATGTTTGGATGCTTAAAAAAACTTGACACCTTTGAAATGGTGGGCTCCAATTAAGTCCACCACCATCCTATAAATTCCTCCAACCCGAGCTCCAGTCTTCCCGCTCTTGAGTGACACAAAAAAATAACAAGTGTGTGCCTTAATCCACTCGGATTATTGCTAATTCCATCTTTCGAGATTCAAACGGTGATTAGCCAAGACGGGTCTACCTTTGTGGATGCTGGGGTTGGGTGCGGACCGGTTGCGAGCCGACATGAATCATTTGCTCGCGCTGCTCTTTCACCAGGTCCATCATCGATCATCTCTATCACCTCACACTACCTACTAATATATATATATATATATGGTACTACGATATTACTTTAATTTGTTGTGCATTGTTCATACATGATTTTAATACAGGTGTTGTGTTATTAATAAATGGGTAGTTTTGTATGTGGTTCATTATATATATACACACACATATATAGATAGTGTGTCAATTGTAGTGACAGTAGTGAATTTTGTATTTTGTTAATTTTATTTAGGGAGTCCTGGATGAACAATTCTTGCAACTCCAGCAGCTTCAAGATGACACCTCTCCAAACTTCGTCTCTGAAGTTGTTAATATCTACTTCCATGAGTCCGAGAAGCTTTTGAGGAATCTAAGAGCATTACTGTAATTTTTTTCTTCTCCTTCTCCTCTCTCTCAACACTGTACAGAAGACCGTTCTCTAATTTTATATATTGAATCTCTCTCTCAATGAATTATGGGATTTTCCCTTTCTTTTCTCTCTCTGTAGATCTAGTGGGACTATGGGACTACTTCAAAACTTTTCAGTACTTCTTCTTCTTTTTCCCCTTCCGGAAATAAAAGTTTACCAATACATTGAATTTGCTGTCTATGTGAACACACATAATATATATATATATATATATATATATTAGTATATGCCAATGGGTGATGAGACATGCATGTATATACTACTGCAGGTTGGATAGAGAGTTCTCGGACTACAAGAAAATGGGAATCCATGTAAATCAGTTTATGGGTAGCAGTTCAAGCATTGGTGCTAAAAGGATCAGAAATGTATGTGTCGCCTTTCGCGCCGCTTCTGAACAGAATAACAGACCTGGGTAAGTGTGTGTGTGTATATATATATATATATAGGTCCACTTTAATTCCTTCTCTAACTGCGTGCCTTCTTCATATTCCCTTTTACTTTTCCACCCCATATAGTAACATATATATACATATATATATATAGAGAAAGAGAGAGAGATGGCTAGCTAATACAGTACTAAGTAAATAAATTTGTTTATCTGGGTTGTTTCAGGTGTTTGCGTGCTTTGGAGTTGCTAGAACATGAATATTGCTATCTCAAAAACAAACTGCACGAACTCTTCCAAGTAATTAAATATATACCCCAACCTACAGTATACTGTTAAATTCTAAACATTTTTTTTTGGGAATTTATTAAATTCTAAACATTGCTTTTAATTAACTTCGCACGCACATAGAGATTAATTAATTATATACATATACTGATATTATATTATATGATTACTTTTACAATACAGATAGAGCAGCAACGAGTATTGGCAGCCGGAGTTAGGTACCCAGCGCAGAACTGAAATTTGAGGGCAGAATTAGTGTTTGGTTCCATAATTAAGTAGTCCATTTGGTTTCAAATATGATGATGAATAGAGAACCACAATGTCATCATTAATATCTTGGATCAGTACTGTGTAGATCAATTATTCTTTTTTTTCAATGGGTGTGTTTGGACATGCAATTGTGATATTTGAATGGAAAATTAAATGAGTGGTACGTAGTTGAACTTGGACCAGCTGTTTTCATAACTTTGGCTTTTTTTATCTGATTTTCTGACATTAAATTTGAACCTACTGCTTTTATTAGTTGCTAATTATGTAGTGGTCTCTCTTTATCAAACTGTCACTTGTGTTGTGCACAAAAAGGCAATTGATTTGATAACCTCTATCAAATCAACAACGTACACTAGCTATGCTATCAATTTAGATTCCAAGTCAACCACATATCTGAAATGGGCCAAAAGATGGATGATTCTAAAATGCTAAACGATAAGACTTACCCAAAAATACTAAACATGTAATTATACTGTTCCACATAAATAAACAATTCCAATATTCGTGCAGTACTCGTAATGCCATATAATCATGTCCACATATCCTCTGAAATTAGCTCGTGGGTTGTGATGTTTAGTTATTCCGATTATATTTATGTGAGTAAAAAATTACGTTTTTCCGGATAAATGATAATTTCTTTAATGCATGGTTTCAAATGTTCTCAATTGTATGTATGTGTGTATGTTAGTATGCATGCACGTATATTTCAAACAGCTACAAATATTTTTAATAATTTTATAAATCTCACATCATCACATGGAAGTCCCAATTTACTCCAAAGCTTTCTCTTTTTGGTAATGTATCAGCATTTTAGAATTCTTTTTTAATTATACTGTGATACAAAGCTATTAGAAGACATATTCTCCAACGGCTTTGCATCCATAGCTGCATTCTGAACTGAACTTTTCATATTACCTATATCCATCCCCATTATTGTTGGCATGCATCACCTCATTACTTCTCTATTATGCCATTTCAAGCTCAAAGTTCTAAAACTTTTTTTTTTGGGTATAAAAATGGAGTGAAATTAAAGTATGTCAAGAGCATGCTTTATAATATTCTCTTTGTTTAGCAAAGGAACCATAGCGCTATGGTAATGAGTTTAGCAGCTTGAACCACTAAATAATTTCAATGGGTTGGCTGTAGTGGTAAAGTCCTAGGACCTAATGAAGTATTAAGTTTCAAGTTCAAATCCTTTCGAGTGCGATCAATTCCTTAGTAACCACGACCGCAGACATAATTTGAGATTTACCCAATTCGTGTGGATGGGTTGCTTTGCACAAGTCCCGTGCATTAATCAAAAAATAAATAAATAAGTAAATAAATAAATTAAAAAAATTGAACCACTGATTCAGTTATACTCTTTTAGAACAAGCGCGGTTGGTTGGTACTTCCTCTAGGCTGGGCTGGGCTCATTTAAAAATCTTGCTATTACAGTACTTCATCTAGGTTGGGCTGGGCTGATTTGATTTCTTGGGTAGCTGGCCCGGTTTGGTTCCTCAATCTAAACACTTCAGTCCCCCTATTCTTCTTAATTTATGATAGTACCATATATATATGTGGGGAAGAATCATAGTGATACCTTTCTTTTGGATAAAGAAACAAAGGTGGGTTACTTTTTTTCATAGAGCAACACTTTTTGTGATATAAAGACTCAATTAAGGCTCCTTTTTTTGGATTTAAAATATTTTTTTGAAAATATGTGTTTGGTTAGAATTTTTTTTTAAATCTATCAAAAATAATAACTTACACATCATTTTTCGGCAAATTTTTTTATATTCCCCGTCCATTGAACTTGACCTTAACATCGACATAGATCTTTGTTAAACACCAAAAAATCAAAATCAAAATAATATTTGAAAAAAATATATATTTTATGTCCAAACAAACGGGGCCTAAGTAACATGATTTCAATAATAATTTCAAGATTTTATTTAAGTTGGTAATTTATCATTTTGATTGTGGATCGTGAACAGAATTCAAAGTTGCGGTCGGTTGGGCTTTGCCTACTAAAAAGAGGCTGATAGAACAGAGGCATTCTGGGCCGATGATACATGTTGAAACAACTAGTAAAACCTCAAACACTTCAATGCCAAGAAAATTGCTCTATAAGGCCCAATCTAAAATAAATTACAGTGTTAGTTTCTTTATAGCTTGATGACAATTCTACAGGCCCTTCACTGTATATTGTCGCATATATATAAATGAAAAATGATAAAGTAGCTTAAGAGTGGGATACATTCCACTGTGTGTGTGTGTGTGTGTGTTTTTATTTATTATTATTATTTTTTTTTGCATCATAAAAGTTGGAAAGAGGTGATAAAAAGGAAAAGAGTTGGTTTGGGAAAAGCCCAGCAATTAGGCCCATATAACCCCACTACCAACAACATTGTGCTGCTGCTCTTTTTTTGAAGTTGTGTCTGCAAGATACACGATTGATCTCTATTCCTTCCGCAAATATCATTTTATTAACTTTCCATATGCCAACTTTTCATCCATAGCCTTTTTGAAATTGTATTTTTTATTAGCAAAACATCTCTAAATATATATAAACGTTATTTAGACTTGGGAGTGTCATTATCCAAAAAAATTTATTTTAATTGTAGGAAGGGCATTTTAATATTTTTATCGTCTTAGGGGAGGTCCTTGTTTGCTCCTAAAATAAATGTTAGGAAGTTTACCTTGTTTGCTCCTAAAATAAATGTTAGGAAGTTTACCGAACCTATTTTTTATTAGTAAAGCATCTCTTAATATATATATATATATATATATATGAACATATATAGTGTATTGGAGTAATATATTATGATGAGCTTTATTTTTCTGTTTAGTTTTGGGCTTGTATTAACGGGATTAAAGGGGTGCCCTGCCCACATGGCCACTTAGTGGCCAGACAAACCCATTAATTTTTGTGAGCTTACCCAAATGATGACTGATAATATGATAGGACCAACCACAATTCATCTACAAAGCCACCACATTAACAATCACACATTTCCCCTTCACCATACATTTGGTTACATAACAATCATTGGTGCTCAATTAAAACCTTCATGTAGGGCCCGCCAGAGGAATGAAGAAGAAGTGAGTTGAGTGAGCTCAAGAACTACTATATAGGCCAGCCAAGCCTTCCAACCAAAATATATTGAAGCCTCTTGGGTTTTAAATTAAATTTTAATTGAGAAGATCAGACATCAAGTTTTTAAACGCACGCTACTGTTCAAAAGTTAAAGTATATCTCTTGGCAACTGTGAGAAAGCAACAATTGATCATATTTCAGGAACCTTAGGTTTGAGGATAGAGAGAAAGGCAAATACATGGATTAATTTAACATGAAGTGATATTGGATAAGTCGCGAGTGTTTTTAAAGCTCTTATTCACATACCAAGTTACACGGACTCCATTCAATGTTGCTATTAAACTTCCTTTGAATTCTGAGTCCATGATTTTCTTCTTATCCAGCTTCACCACTGCATTATCTGTTCTTCTTAAAACTTCATTCAAACGAGACTCACTTATTAGGATGTCTCTATTCATAGCCTTGCTTTGTAGTAGTGACGGTGAGACACAGACTGACGAAGATGAGAGTGTTGACAGGACTAGTCCTCGATCAGTATTTTGCCTATTTAGTTAGACACCCATGAATGCTCGGCACTGGGACTCCCAATACTCCTTTGCCTGCCGAACTCGCTCTACTCTCTCCATTTGAAGCCGCTCGTCCCAATATTCAGGACAACTGTTGAATTTTGACAAGTGATTACTTGCTAAAATTATAAGCAATATAAACTGCCAATCTTTTCACTTTTTCCAACCCCCAAAGGACTGAATTTCAGATGAATGGCCACAAAGTGAATGACATATATGGTAGAGGAATTAAAACATACCTTCTACTTAACAGGATGTTAAGCTCTTCCAAGTGGACAGCACCTTCATAAACTCCTTCCTAAAATAAGCCCAAACAAATTAGGAAACAATGAGGTAGCTTTGAAATGGGACTTTGGTTGACAATAGATGTTAGCAAGCTAATTATACAGAAGGCAAAATTTTAAAGTTATGAGGTAAACTTAGAGCAAGACCGACTGTATATATAAACTTACTTCTCAGCAGAGAGGGCATTTTTCCTTGGGATCTGCTGCCTTCATTCCATCAACAATGGTTACTGATGCAGCCTTGCAAGCACACATGTAACAGAAAATATGACCACAAGTGAGAGATACTGCATCAAACACTGTTTCCTGATGCAAAAGAGGAAGGGGAAGTATTGATAAATGTTTTTATTAAAAATAAGGCAATGCATCACTTGATGTATGTCCGTCCCTCATATGCAGGATTTTGGGAGGAAAAGACTGAAGACAAGCCTAATCTTTAACATTATTTTACATAAAGAGACTGCTTTCGTATTTGGACCTGCAAAACTTGTGCTTATCAGTCCATAGAAAAAAAATCAAATGAACAAATATATGGATGTGTTTGATAGAAGTTTTAGTGTCAACGAGTGAAAGAACTTGCAAATATATAGAACAAGTCATTGTGAATCTTGAAAGAATCTAAGAGCTCAAGTGTCTCCAAGATTATAGGTTCAAATCAAAATTATCGGAGACAATAAAAAAGAAATTCTGGGGACTCACCAAACATATGGAGTAAGTCAGGTCAATGCCAAACTTGACGGAATCAAAGAGATCACAAGAGAGTGATGGTTTGCATATGACAGAGCATCCCTCGAACAACACAGGGACATTCCTTGTACTGGCCTCAATCCGCCTCGAATTAACATGAAAAGCCATAAGCTCGTATAGCCATGGGGACTGCAGGATTTCAATATGCATACTTTGCGCTTGTGACTTGAATGCTTGGCCTTTTTTACAGAAATGAATCTATAGTCAAGATAAAAACATGTAAAACACTTGATATCGGCTAATTAAAATCAGAACAATTGGTTGCTAAGATTGGGGTAAACAAACCTTATC